AGGAACTTCGGCGTTGTGGAGGGGCGGGTGAGCGTTGGGCGCAGGGAATTTGTGAGCGTTTTGAGGAGGGACATGGTGTCTATTCTCGGCTGGAGTTATCGAGATGGAATAGAGGCCATGTCGCGAGGATGGACTCGATTTGTTTGAAGAACTCAGATGGCGGAGGTGGAAATGCGGAGAGGGCAGGGCGTCTTTATCGAGCGGCTTATCGCTTATCGCTTATCGCTTATCGATTACCGGTGCGACTAATTCCTGGCTTCTTACTAGCTGGTCGCACTCGGAGAAATGGAATAAAGTCTGGGGAGAAGACAAGACACAAATAGATTGCCAACCAACTAACAAGATGGGGTATGAGCCTGGCTATACTATACACAGGAAGAGAACCAAACAATGCAATGTAAGAAATGACAGCAACCATATATAGCGTCACTGTTAGCGCGCTCAAGCTGACTCGCAATGCAAAAAATGTTCGGGTATTCAGCGAAATATATAACGGGAGAGGATAGATCACCACATTCAACGCAGCTCTCACCTCTCCAGAATTAGGATATATAAGAAAAAACCAAGCTCGGATCAAGACAGCGCAAGCCCCGTCCCATCCCCAGTCCAGCGATAAAGCGAAAGAACCTCCCTTCGCCTCTGCTGCTGCTCGCCAAAGTCATCCGGCACACGACCTCTTACCTGAGCAAGAGCCGACCGCATGACTTTCCGAAACGTCCGCTGCATCCCAATTAGCCTTGGCGACCTGACAGACTATGAAATAAGGTTGTAAAGAACGTACCTGATACTCCGTATTCAACGTAACAACACAAGCCTCATGCGCGCGCACAATCGTCTCACAAGCACGAACTACGCTCGGATTCGCGTCGCCTTGCAACTTATCCGCCGCAAGGAGAAGCAAGAAGCTCCCCTGCAGCAGATAGATCCCGAAGAAGAAGGGCATGAAGCTGAGGTCCGGATCATACTCGAGGATATCGGCTGCGGCCTCTGCGGCGCCGACGGCGTGGCTCATTGCGGTGAGGAAAGACTCCGAGGAGATCCACATGTCGTGATCCTCCAAAAGGCTAATGGGATCCCATTTGCCGGCTAGCAGGATGTATAGGACGTGCATGATGTGCGTCCCGTAGGCGACGACCATTTTTGTGTGGACGATCGACTCGTTGACGCGGGAGCCCACAGTGCTGCTTGAGCGGCCAGAGGGGCTGAGATGGTCGAGGTGGGAGTTTTCCGGGGGTTCGTTCTCCGCGAGGGCGAGGCTGTTTGTATATCGCGCTTCGAAGTCTTTTAGGCTTTGCGCGTAGGAATCCAATTGCTGTGTTATTGCCATGACGTACTGCTCAGTTTCAGGTCCGCTGCGGACAGTCAGGCCGTAGCGGGGATGTTCGCGGGCTTGTTGGACGTCGATGATGCCCCCTAGAATCGCCATTAGAGGTAAGAAGTAGCCGAACATGCTATGGCCGGTGCATTCAGTCGGCGGACCAACGGCGCGGTAGGTGGCGGATGGAAAGTCTCCCGCCTGCCACAAATCATCATTCATCGGCTGCAGTAGCTGCGAGCATTCTTTGTCCAGCAAAGTGAGCGGCCTGTTGTAGCACAAGGCCAAATGGCGATCCGTAGCATACAGAAGCCACCAGAGTCGCCGGCGTTCTTCTCGTTCCTCCTCCGTGACATTGACACTCGAGTTTCCACCATGCGTCGAGAGCATCGGCTGATTTCGCTTTGACGGATCATCACCATCGGTCTCTCGCTCGCCGTCCTGACCCTGCTGCGTCGCATTCGGCGGCAACTCGCGGCCTAATTTTAGTTCTCGAGCAAGAGACCAAGCGGCTGTCCACCACCGCATGCTCGCGGCCTTATATTCACTGGCGGACACCACCGTCGCTAGATGAACGTACGTCGCCACATCATCAACAGCACCAGTCGCTGTACTCTGAGCGCCTAGTTGGTCCATCGACACCCCGAATCCACCAAGAGCAACACCATTGATGACCATGTTCGCCGCATAATTCGGCGAAGCTTCCCCGAGCGCCGGTCCATGTATCAGCGGACGCAGCAACCCAATTGTCAACTCCAGCAGCTTCTGACATACTCGGCCCCGAGCAGACGGCGGGGAGGTCAAGAAAGGCGCATCGCTTGTTTGCGCGCCTACCCATAGCATACTCGCCAATAACCCAGGAGAACACACGCGTGGTTTTGTAGGGTGGAGGAACGACTGTTTTCGGAAGATATATCCAACGACATAAGGAGACTGCGGAGAGAGGTGGGAGGAGGATGAACTGGTGAAGTAGAGGTCGAGAAGATCGCAAGCAAGGGACTGGGGTATTATCGAAGCAATATGAGGAAGGACCGGTTGGAGGACGGGGTATCGTAGGCTTGTTCCAGAGAATGGCGCCATAGGAAATGAAGGGAAGTTTGCAGGAGACGGCGATGGTAGTGGAAGCCACCCTGGAGATTGCGCTGGAGGAGAGAGACCTAGGAATTGAGCCGACGGATTGTCTGTCGAATTTCCCAATCGGAAGTGGTTCAGCGACGTCGTATTCGGCTCCTGGTTGAGTAACGAGAAGGCATTATCGCTATACGCATTCAAACCATGCGGCGGAAGAGCAGGCGGAGAGCGAGGGTTATTATGAAGTAGCTGCAGTGAACGAAGATCTGAAAGTGGCATTTGCGAGCGGCCCGGTTCATTCAGCTGCGTAAAATGGTTCAGGTGCAAAGCGTCGAGAGCCGATCCCAGCGGCGGCTGCGACTGCGTCGCTTGAGTGTTGTGAATGCCAGCGAGTCCGTTTGTAGGCAGTTGCGGCTGTACTCGCGACGCTTCGAGGGCCTGGTCGTACCGGCCGCTAGACTCCTGCGACAAGCGTCTGTCAGGCGATGACGGGATATCCCTGCTTCCATGGTGTCCTGCAGCGGCGGCCGCAGCCGCAATGTCCTTCTTCGAAGCCTTGCCCCGTTTCTTGCGTTCGCGAGCATATTCGCACGTCAAACCGAACTCTGCGGCAGAGACATTAGCAACAACCTCCTCTTCAATAACAATAAAAGAAAATACCTATACAATGCGCGCACGGGTTCTGCCCATCGCATTTCGTCCGGAGCTGGTTACATTGGTCACAAGCCCGACTGATCCTCCGACGAACCGGCGCAGACGAAGAGTTCTTACGAATCATAGATCGAGCTTCAGCAAGGGAATCGCGAACAGAAGAACCCTTGAAAGCGGAGTTATTGTCGGAGTTGCCTTCTCGCGACAGCTGCAATTGTTCCAGGACGTACTGCGACCCCTCGGCGAGGGTATCAAGCCCGACGGTCTGGGACTGCGACTGCGTCTGCGTCATTCTCGCGGACTGCGAGTTCGAGAAGGGAGAAAAGGACGAGCCCGTGCCGAACTGCTGGAGCGAGGTAGTCGACATCCTCGCGGATTTGCGTATCAACGGGGCATCAAGGCGCGGCGTCGCAAGCTTGAGAGGTCGTGAACTGAAGACGGACGGTCTGGAGAACGACGACGAGGGAGATCAGGTGAGGAGTGGAATCAAAGGGTTCGGGACGAAGGATTTAGTTGGGTGCAGATGAATGGCGGGGAGAGCTGGGGCAGCATTGCCGACGGCGGCCGGGGAAGTCGAACTAGAGCGCGGGCAAGAGGAGACGGTGACACTGGCTGGGAGTCTCCAAAGCAGAACAGGCAACGAGAGAAAGAAAAGACGGGCGAAGAAACAATCAACAAGCTGAGCCAACCCCGAACCTGAATGAAGACTGGATGGAAGAGGGGGTCTTGTCATGTCATGCCATGCATACAGACACCTCCGACAGCAAGGATCCCCGCACTGCAGTCACGTCAAAGTCGGATCAGGAACTGGCGAAGAACCAGGAATCTGAAGGAGAGAAAGGCCGGACGGTTCTTGGAAGGCCAGGAGAAAAGCCGAAGAAAAGGTGCTAACGAGGAATGGAAACAAGGCCAAAAGGTGGGGAAGTCGCAGCCTCAGGCAGGCAATCTGGAGATCGTGCGACCTGCAGCAAATCGCCCACGCTGCATGCTGGGGGAACTAACACGGAATAAAATTAGGCGAGATAGGGGCCCTCGCGTTCAGCCTTGTAGATTCATGTCGCACTCGCACAGTCCACGACTGGGTGGCCGTCTCTGAGGAAACTCTGTTGGGCCGGATTCTGCCTAAATTACCCCAGACTCTCACACGCCGTTTACCCGGATCTCTCACCACCACGCGGAAAAAGCAACCGAGCCCAATCTATATGGCACAGAATACGAAGCAGACTAAATGAAAGGGTGGAATATGTCTTGCACTATATTTACAACGGCTCATACAGGATATCATAATATACATCACCGCCAACTCGACGGAAAATAAAAGAAAATCATCCAATCCCAACGCCAGATGCCATCAATGACCCATCGGATCGTCTATCCGTACTTTTCACAATAAGCGCCAGCCAACAAGTATATACAAGCATTTAAGAAAAGAAGTACTTGCTGTCACGGATCCGCGACACCTCCCAGCTACCCTTCTCCGGCACGGCCCGGAAGCTCATGGGCAACCAAAGCCACACGTGCGGCGTCTTCTTCTTCCTCGTCCGCCCGACCGGCGTAGCTTCCGCTTCCTCTTCCAAGCCAGCCTCTGCTTCGGGCTCGGGCTCGTCATCGCTCAAGGGAGTCGTCGAGTCCGCATCCCAAGCAGCGTTTCCGAGAAGAGTAGCTATCGCCGGGTCCGAGCCGTCCATTTCGAGTCCGGCAAGGGCAGGCTTGTTCTCCGTGGCCTCCGGGTTTTCGGGAACGTGCCCAACGACGGATTCGCCGAGGGAGGCGTTGACAGCTAGATCAGCGTCCGAACCGCCCTCCGCCTCGAAGATGCTTGCCGCGGTAACCATCTCCCGACCCTGAGCCTGTAGCTCGGGATCGTCCGACCGCAGCAGTTTCTGACGCTTGTACTCTGTGATAAGCTCGTTGATTTGGGTGTACTTTGTCAAGCCCCTTCGCCAGGTCGCGATCTTCTTTCCGATGGGCCTAGTCGTCGAGATTTTGGTCAGATACAAGTTTTGCCCGTAGCGTACTTGGAACTCTGCCGCCAGCCTCTTCACCACGTCGTCCGAGTGCATCTGCACAAATGTCTCGCGAAGAATTTGGTTCATTGTGTCGACGTCCGAAGGGTGGGTCCAAAACGAGTCGTGCACAGCGGAGAAAGTAAGACCAGCCTCGTGACAAGCGCGCGCAGACAGAATCATGTGGGTTGCGTCAAGAGAATGAATGAAATTGGGAGGGAAGGCCTGTAGCTGCTTGCGCTTGGAAACGCAGAAACGGGAATTTTGTTCGACGACACTCAGGCTCTGGAAGCTGGTCTGGACACGACGGGCGTCCCGGTTCCGGTACGGCTGCACGACGGGGAGACCTAATGGTGTCGTCCAAACAACCGTCGTTTTGAAGTACTGCTTCAGGAACGCCTTGGTCGAGATCTTCTTCCTGCGAACATTCCTCTTCTTGGGCAGCGTCGTCAAATCCGATACGAGAGCTTCCTTGGTGATGGCCTCAATGTCCGCGGGGGTTATAGACTGCGTAATGCGACTAGCACAGTCGCCAAGCCAGTATTGGATATCGTGGGCTCCGTGGAACATGGTCGCGAGAGCTTGGAAGATTTTCTTGGCGATATAAACGGCGCCCTGCTTTTTTTGCTCGTCGGTCGAGTCGGGGTAGTAGTCAACGAGCTGCTTGCGAACTTGCTTCATGGCACCCAGAAAGGTCACTCCGTAAACGTTTGTCATGACGGTCTGCTTCACAACCTTGCGGATGATTTTGCCTTGAAGGTAAATTGCAATTGGATCCCCTTGCGCGGCGTCCCGCGCAACCTCCTCGTTGACGAATTCGGCCACACCAGAATAGACGTCAGAGGGGCGGTCAGACGGCTCGAGGTTGACCTGCTGCGCACCGGCTTTGTCACCACCGAGAGCGGCATAGTGCTGCAGACCATTGCAGGAGCCATCTTGATGGATCGGCAGACGCGACGCGTACTCGGTGGGGTTTGGATGCTGGAGGGCATTTCGGAGTTCACAGCAAGCCGCCAGACATTGCCAGGGGTCTTCAGCCTCAAGCCACCACCGGCGACCATGAAGGCCGTTGTTGGCAGAGTCCAGAATATCATCCAAATTGTCCATGGCGAACTTCTCACGCTCCGAAAGACTAGCCTTGTCAAATCCTGCAAGGTTGGCAATCTGGATCTTCAACCACCTCAGACCACTCTGCCCGAGCGGCTTTGCTTTACTGAACAAGAGGAGGCCTCGAGCATTATCAGCGGCCATCTGGTTGAGGTAGGGAGGGATTGGATACGCTCTGCCACGGAAGTCCAGGTTATGAGGAAGGTAGAAGGTCTCGTTGAGGTACGCGCGAGCCACTTCCAGTTGAAAGTTCTGGAAGCATCGCTGGGAGTGGTAACCGGACCTTTGATTCTCGATATCCCGGACAGCGGAGTTCCACTTCTTCTCGGCATCGTAGCCCTCCTCCGGGGACGGCTTTGGCGGAAGCGGCAGTTTGGGGTCGAGGGGTGCGAGGTCGGCAATGGGCTCTCCAGTATTCCAGGCCTCGAGCATAACATTGAACACGTCTCGGTTGATAGCCCATCCGGTGCCGCCCAGGATGTCCAAACCCTCGCGGATCTTCTTCATGCCATCGTCCTCCAACGCCGCCCTTACATATGCAGGCTGCAGGCTCTCGCCGGGTGTGGAGCGGACAATGTGATTCTGGTGGTAGTAATAGGCACCATCCTTGTAACCGATCCACTGTCTGGGCTTGCACAGCATGGGCAAATGGCGACCGAGCAATTCCTGAGCTGGCTCCCTGGTGAGGATTTTGATCATCTCTGGATGCACGTGAATGTAACCACTGCGCCTTCCCCAGGTGATCTGGTACGAGTGCTGGAAGACAGACTGCATGACCAGGTCCTTCTTTTTGACCTTCTTCGCCGCGGCCGCTGCCTCGTTCACGGGAACTGGGACCTTTGCAACATCGTAAAGAAAGCTCAGCAACACAGCGCCGAGCTTTGCCTTGACCTGAACCGGCCAGACGTGCTCAGGCTGCGCCAGTTCCATCTTCTTGAGAGCATTCATCCAGTTGATCCTCTTCACCTTGCCCTGGTCCTTGCGCCCGTTGTAAATTTCCTTGATGAGCCGCAACCGGTGAGCACTGTTCTCTTCTTTCTTCCGCTGCTCAAGCATTATTTGCAGAAGCATTTCCTCGTAGGCGTCGTTCCCGACCGCTACGGCAAGCTGAGCAAGTTTCATCCCTTTCTCCAGTCCAACCTTGATCATGGTATTGACAGTCGACAAAATCGTCAGAGATGCCAACTCTGCGGGCGGGACCATTTTCATGTAGAGGCCGTAATCGGCCCGCTCTTTGTCTTCGGCACCCCTTGACTTCTTATTATTGATGATCTTTTCGACTTCCTCGAGTTCATGTTCAATCCTCACAACGAGATCCGCAAACCATTGGCGAAGTAGCGGGCCTAGTCGCGTTCGTGTCTCAAATGCCTCAGGCGTGAGCTGGTTCTGTACTTGGTTTTCCTGCCGCCAACGATTGACAGCGGACTTCATGACATCCGCTTCAAGTTGCTGCTGTCGACGTTGCTGGTGCAGCTCGAAGGTTTCATCATCCATGCCCTCGGGCCTTTTCGGTGATTGGGAGAATACTGGGGACAAGGACTCCGTTAATGTCTTAAGCCCAAGACCCTTTTGTTCAACAGCTTTGATTTCAGGAACGTCTTCGGCCGGCACCTCCAACTTCTCGAATTTGGGTTCCATGCTTTCGATGGCGACACGTTGGAGATCCGAGGAGCAAACCTGAGGCAGATGAGTTAGCCAGGAATCTAAAACCATCGATGGACAGTGGGAAACAAACCTCGGAAAGCTCGCCGAGCTCGCGTTCAGTGAGCACATCCACGGCCAAAACGGCTTCCTCGCATTGCTTGTCCTTCGCGACTTGCCAATACCGGCGAACGGCTCGGTCCCGCTTGGAGCCATAAAACAGGCGCAGAGCCATGCGGATCATAATAGCGATAGTCGTAGCATCCGCAACCACGCCACCATACGGCATGTCCACTTCAAACCAGCGCTGCATCTGACGCGCCAGACCCTGATCGCCAATCTGGATGCCATGTGCGACCATCGCCTTCAGCAGCTGGTTGTGCATGTTCAAGTAGTCTTTGGAGCCGACAGGGTAAAATTCACGCAGCCGATTGATCAGGTTACAGGCTCGATGGAACTGGCCTACCTTGATCGAGATACCCAGGTTTGTGATCATCTCATCATGGTCGCCTCCAACGCCTTTGACTTTCTTGAAGACCTTTGGGGCCGTCATCAGGAACTCATCGACGATGACAAGCGAGGAGGCGTCGTCGCCGAAAATCGAAGGAAAATCGCGGTTCCATTTCAACGCGGGATCCCATTCTATGGTCTTCACACGGTGCGCGGAGTATGACGCCTGATTGAAGTTTTCGGAGTGTGATAGTTGCTCGAGGGCCTGGGGGTCAGCGGCGGTGGCAAGGCTGCGGCTCGATTGCAAGGAGGGACGACGGGGGCGAGTCTCGGAGGAGGAATTGGATGAAGTCGAGTTTTGCAGTGATGTGAGTCGACTCGTGTGGGAGTGATGGCGTAGCTTTGCCGGTGATGGCAAGACGGAGCGTCCTTTCAGAAGCCGAAGCTGGGAAGCAGTGCTCCTCTGGCGAACAAGCTGGGACAACATGACGAACGCTATTAAAACAAGAAGCAAAGATTATATAGTCGCAATTAAGAGGAAGATGATATGCAATTAAAGCGGAGAGTAGGAAAGAGAAAATTAGATGCGCCGCAAATGCAGGAACAAATCAACAACAGCTGCGGCGAACGCTCAGCACCTCTGGACAGGAAATTGTCAAGCCACTGACAAGGCGTCCTGCAGCCTTCTCAACTTGCACGCCGGCAAAATCAATAATGAAAACGGATAAGCAAGAAGGAGTGGTGAGGACGAGCAGAGAAGGGATGGGATGAAGAATCTCATCTCCGGAGAGAAGAAAATACTCCCGGAAAGGGCGCTGCGTCACGTGCGGGCGAATCATTCGATTTGCCTTCCATTGGGTGGGTCGCCTTCTGATCGTTCCGCGCCAAATTCTTTAATCAGGCCCACTTTGCCATCTACAGCATCGGAGTACAGCCCTGGATGTTTCGATGTAGTTCTACGTTTCTGCTCTTACAGCGCATTGGGTCTCATTGCTGATTCAAAGTTCCTAGTTTTTATCCTTCCTCCGTGCTACTCCCCGAAGTCTCACTCGCCTTCTGCTTCAGCCGATTCTGCTTCATCGCCCACCCCGTCATCTCCGGTCGTGCCGGGTCAATCCGGGGCGCACTCATCTTATCCAGATAATCCTCGCCGTTGATAGCTGACTGGAGCTGCGGCAGGCCTTCCACGTCCTGGTGCATCATGAAGTTATCGTAGATCTGCCATGATTCCTCGTTCTACGAGAGTCAGCATACCACCACCATTGCTCAAAAGGGAAAACTCACCTCGGCATCAACCCAATCGTACGTCTTCCACTGTTCATCCTGCATCCGCTTCAAAAGATCAAGGTTCCCCGGCACAATGACCTCCCTATCCTCCGCCCCCTTGACCTTAACATCAACAGCTCTAGCCTCCGGCTCCGGCCGCTCCTCGTCACCCTCCTTCCTCTTCCCAGCACGCGCCTTCGGCATCTCATCCATCGCATCGAGGTGGTGAAGCTGCGGATGTAACTGAACGACCGCCGTAACCGGCGAGAGGTGTAGTTTATCTGTAGACGTAGACGAGCAGCGAGTCAGCCATGGCCCAATGTCTCTCTGACCTCACAAGACAACGAAAGAATCCAACATACCGCCCCGGAACGCAGCAAGCATATAAACCGGGTCCCCATCCTCGGGCGTCTTAATCCGTCCACCCAGCGTCTGCACCTTAAGCAGCGGCGTCTGATCCCCCGGCGCCAATCCCACATACTCCTCGCTCTTCACACCAGCACCAGCACCAGCACCGGCCTCCGCCTTGACCTTCCCACCCGCAGCCGCCTCTCGCTGGCCCGCAACACTAAACCCCCCCGCCATCCCGTACGCGCCTCCCTCGCGCGCACTCTTACTCTTCTTCAGCGCATCGCCGTACTTGACGCCCTTGCCCAGATCATAGTTCAGGCGCGTGTTGATGGGGACGTCGACCTCCACAAGCCCGGTCTTGGGCTTCAGGCGGATGGCGGTGGGTTTCTGGCCGTTGGTGTCGTCGTATGCGTGCCCAGTGGGTCGGTCGAGGTACTGCAGGACGAAGCGGCTGATGTCGGAGTTTGTGAGGTAGATGTCGTAGGAGGCGATTATGGGGTCGGCGGCGGGTGAGGGGGTCGTTGACGGGGTTGGTGTTCGGGATTTTCGCGGTGAGGGTGGCATGGTGCTGGTTGTTTCTGGGCGGACGGCGGCTGGATGTCGGTGGCTGTAATTTGTGAGAGGGTTATGGAGGCTATAAGGGGTCCATTCCAGGATCGGAGTCAAGTTGTGCGTGTAGAATTGAGATGTAGATGTGCAGGCAATGGTCGTGCTTTTTTTGGGCTTATCGGCGGCAGAAAGATTTGGCTCTATTTGTGGCCTCAGGCCACTGTATTCCTTTACCGTACCGTACCGTACCGTACCTGATCTAACCCAGTAAGCCCGTAGAGGGCTTGCATGCGCAGCCCCGGCCTCATAAACAGCGCTCTCCCCTTTAAATCTAACGTGCTTGTCATCAACCCGCCGACATTACTGTCGAACGCTAAGGACTACTTCAAGAAGGATTGAACTCTACTTTGAAACTTCCAACATGAGCTCCTCAACGCCCTGCTCAGCCTGCACATGGACAGCAGACCGTCAAGAAAACTGTCGCTACAACAGCAACGTGAAACTATTCTACGGCGTAAGCGACCGCGGAGTCTGGTCCCTGGGGTCGCGGTATATCCTAAAAGAGCGCTCCAGCCAACCTCCGAATTCTGAAGTCCCGAATCTGAGATTCCTGAAGGAACACACCTCCATCCCCATCCCCACCGTCGTCCGCAGCTGGGAAGAAGACGGCCGCGCCTTTGCCATTATGGACCGAGTCCCTGGGACGCCGTTAAGTGCAATCTGGAGCACCCTGTCAGAGGTCGAGAAGAAGAGCATCGCAAAACAGACGGCGGAGTACCTGGGACAGCTGCGCGAGCTCCACTCCAACACGATGCAAGGGCTTCACGATCAGCCGATCTACTCTGCGTTTCTATTTCCCACGGGCTACGGTGTCCCTCATGGGCCGTTTTCGTCTGATGATGAACTGTGGTCGGAAATGAAACAGGCTCTGCAGGGGATCCCGGAGGATGTTTGCCTAAGGCTTCGAGAGCGCATGCCGTCCGCAGCACCGTATACCTTCACCCATGGGGACCTTACTTTCGTTAATATCATGGTTGACGATGGTCGTGTTACTGGGATCCTTGACTGGGAGTCTTCTGGATATTTCCCTGTCTGGTGGGAGTTCACTTGTGCTGGAATTGGCTTGAGCAACGAGGACAAGGAGTGGAAGAATCTGCTACACCGATATATGCCTGATCACACCAATGCTCGCGAGTTTTGGTTGGATTTTTATGCTCTTTCTAAGTATCCCAATCTCAATGAAAGAGGGATGGCACTGCTGAAGAGCACCACTAAATAGGAACAGCAATAACAAAAGAGTGACAGGATAGAGTATAATGAGCGTCCTGAATATCCCCCAGTACAAAGGAAATCAAAGCCTGAAGCACTAAAGAGAGTGCCCGGTATGGCTTTGATATTGGCGCATCATGGCGAAGGACCTTATGAGTTTCGCTGCATCTGTTAAGCTTCTGTTTGCTGTAGGGACCAGGTGTCATACCGACTCAAGTCTCAGAGAACTTTGGGGAGCTCGGCACCGCAGAATTCGCAATTTTCCCTTTGGGTCATATTGCCCTTTCCACATTTCGGACAGTTCATCTTTGTGGAGGTGCGAACGGAATAAGAGTAGTATCAAGATATTTGGGATGGTTCTATTGCGAGATATTGAGATAGAGCAATGCGATGTTCTCCTTGACTTCTCCATGAAATATATATGTTTGCGCAGTCACAACTGAGCCTCAATCAACGGACAGTTTTACAGCTGGATGAGGATCCGACCACAAGCTAGCCATGTCATTGTCTTCAAAAGTTGCACTGGGAGGAAACTCAACCCTAACATGATCCCCCTTTATTGGTTGGCTGGAGAAAGGCCTAAGGGAATACCCCTCGACCGAGCTTCACAATCAGAATTCAAGAGCTTGTCCCATGGCTACTGGGCGCCGTGCGAGACTCTGCACAAAAGGCTAGGTAATGGTTACCAAGATATGCTTCTGTACTCGTCTAGCTTTGCGATTTTCTCCATCCTCAAGTGTTTGTCGTGGCTTGGCATGTGTGTGTCTTCAAAGAGGGCGTGGCTTTGATGCTTCGCCGAAGGAAATCCAGACTCAAGGTTATGTCCGATATGGATGATGGTATTCATGATCTAGAGAAAGACCTCAAGCGGAGAAAGCTTCAAGAAACAACGCGAGAAGCCAGCTTCGTAGCGGAGAGCTCGACGTCGTGATACAGCAAGGCTGTCAGGAGAACTGTGCTAAATGGCCTTTATCTGCAGCCACATTCCTTCCTCACTCGGTCACACTGGATAATCCCTGTTGGGATGGAGCGGCACCCCAGCTCCCATCCACAAGCCAGAAGCAAGCCAGACCACACCAACGCGGAGCCGCCAGAGATCGAACCTCTCTCCGTGCCATGTCCTCCAGTCTCTCGTCCAGCGCTCGAAGTAAGCCTCGTGCTGCTGCCTGCTGCTCCGCAAACTGACTTGCAGAGGTCGTCCGTATCACGGACGTTAGGCCTTCTTACAGCGTGCACCTGCAACCTTCCCAACTACAGCAGCAGCAGACAGAGATAACTGCCTTGTGCATCTCGCCCACTGGCACTACCAGCAAAAGACTCAGTTATGCGCAACTGCGAGCTTTACCCGGCGGGCCGGACGCTCTGATCCAATTCCAGGTCAACCCAGCAGATGCTCCATTCTCATCCAACCCTACGCCCCCTCTTCCGAGGGCTTATCCGATGGAGTCCGAGGGCCAAGGGTCAAGGTGGTCGAGGTGGTCAAGATGGTTTCGCCGCTGGTGCAATACGTGAATGGCACCGGGAAGGAGATTCGTGATGGGTTCTAACGAACCGGACCCTACATCGGCAGATCAGATTGTCGCTGTTCATCCCGGATCCAACAAAACAAAGTTGGAATCAGAAGGCTAACATACGAGGTTTCCTGTCATAGTTACCTATCTCAGTCATTTAAAGATATTCCACAGAAGCATGAGCATGATGGTATATCACAAATTTATATCTAACTCTTCAAACCTCACCCTTCACCCCCGGCCAGCGCCTCGCCCTCCCTTTCAGCACAACCCCCACCACAAGCCCCGGATACGCCCACAGCACAACCGTCAGCGCCGTAAGCGGCACCGTAATTAACTAGTACAGCCAGAAATTATCCGCGACAACCCATTCCTGGTGCGATCCCTCGAGAGCGGCATGAGGCTTGCATTACCTAGTCTATTATGATTGCAGGAACACGGGCGGCTTGTATCTGTTATAGCCATAGCCTTGAGTCACTACCTTGCGTTACCCTACTCTTCCAGCCGAGCCTCAAACACAGCGATCCTGCTAGAACCACCTGCCTCATAGGCACCTGAGAGAATTTTTCTAGTAAGAAGTCCTAGTCCACTTGTCTTAGGTAAAGGAACCAGTATACCCAGTTTCTTTTTCTCACTATATCCTCCATGAAATCTCCCAAAGTCACCCCGTCTCGGGCGCCTATACCAGCAAAGGCCCACATGGCGAAAAGCCCTAATTCATCTCACAATCCCCCAAAGGCTCCCCCAGCAACCGCCAGAACCTCGCCCCAAACTCCTGCAGGACCCCTTTATGCAAATGAACCCCCCGATCTGGCTCACCCACCGGCGCCCCCGTAACCCTCGCCAGATCAAGGAAAAGCCCGTCCGTCCAAACCAGATCCGAATTCCCGTTCATCTGCACCTCACTCCCATTGGGACCTGTATTCCTCTTCCACCCACGCACTTCAGGATCCGCGCCAGCTCCATCCCCCCTTAAAATCTCAACATACTGCGCCCGCACCGCCACCGCACCCGCACCCAGCGCCCGCTCCCAAACATCAACCCGCAGAACCTCCTGGCACCGACTAACATCCACCGTAACCACCATCTCAACCGTCGACCCGCTGGTCTCCAGCCAAACCCTCGCATCCTCCGCCAAGCGTCCCGCACACTGAACGCCCCCAACAACAACCACAATCCTCAGCGCCAGCTGCATCGCCGGCCCCGTCCAGAAAAGCCCGCACGTATCCGGCTCCTTCGCGTACCAAGCCCCATTATTCCCAAGGACCGTTAGAGGCGAAGCGCAGCAGAGCACGTCGTTGATGCCCCATGTTAACTCCGCCTGCCGGTTCACCATCTCGTTGAAGAGCCCTGTGATCAGGAGATGCGCGGGACCGTGGAGTTTCACGCTGAGGGTTCGGGATACGTAGTTGTAGGAGAGCTTGACGGCGAGCTTTGGGCGGTCGTCGTGGGACGAGAGGAGGTCGAAGGCGTCGGAGGGGACGTCGGTGAACTCGAGCAGTTCGTGGGCTTCGCCGAGGTGGGCGCGGATGATGGCCAGGTAGGATTCGAAGCGGGTGTATCTGAAGCGGTTGGAGGGGTTGGGCGTCATTGGCGCGTCTAGGGTGAGGCCGGACATTTGCGCGGAGAGCATGGTGTCTTGGTGCCAGGGGGAGGGCTCCATCTTTGGTAGTTTTGCTTGGGCTTTTGATGTAGATGATGCTGAGAAGCACTGGGGACCGTCTTCGCTCTGAGAACGAAGAAAACAGCAGTAGAAGTGGCGCGAGAAAAGTTCTCGCCGGAGCCAACCTCCATGCTAACCCTGACTCATTGGACTGGAGCGCCATTCCGAAGGGACGTTGACGTCGCTAAAGAGAAAACTGGGAGTCAATTTTGCTCGAGGTTCGGACCGTCGCTCTCCTCCAATTTGAACCTTGGAATACTCACAGGATCTCTCATTCGCCATGGGAAGAATAGATCACACATCTGCAAACCCTAAGATGCTGGATTACATGCGGGACGGCAGTAAATTGCTATCCATATCTACGTCAAGGCTAGCACCTCGTCAGACTACCTAATCTAGCCTGGCTACTGCGCATAGATGCAAGCCTCGAGCCCCGGGAACTGAAAATGCAGCACTCAGCAATGCCGTGGTTTCTTCCACGTTGACACCGCTATAATGATGGGGCTGGGCTAGCTACTCGCAGACCCGGTTCTGGAATTGGCTTATGCATGCGTCTTATGCTCAGGCGGCTCGTGCGCGATACGACACGCTGCTATACCGCAGAGAGACGCGTCCAGAAGGACTTTAGTTTTCCTACAGAATATAATACTAGGGACTCCCTTCACCCTTTCTCGTTTCCGCCATTCGCTTACTCCGTACCGTATTCCCTTCTATTCTCAACATGAATGGCGATCCGCTTCTCATCCAGCCCGAGGGCGCCCTTGATTTCATTGCCCTGGGATCCGCAGGCGCAGTGTTCCAAGACAGCAAAGGACAAGCCATCAAATCAACTCTCAAGCACGACGTCACAGGATGCAGCCAGCAGGTTATCGAGCATGTCCGTCACATCGAGTCCATCTCGGAAACATGCATCGCCCGCGAGAAGACCATTTACGAAGCACTGCCAAAGCATCCCCGCATTCTGGCCTGCCTCGAAACCAAGGAAAAGAGTCTCCATTTTCCATTCTATCGGCTCGGGAATCTCCGTGATTATCTCCGGCACAATGAAATAGACAACAGTATCCGGGACCGCTGGGTCAGAAACGCGATCGATTCCATCGCCGTGATCCACGCATACGGCGTGATCCACGCCGACATCAGCCCGCGCAACTTCCTTGTGGCCGACGACCTATCGATCAAGCTCTGCGACTTCGCCGGATCCGCAATCGGCGACCTGCAGCCCCTGGTGGAAGAAGAGGAGCGGTACCGGATGGCGCCGCTGTCGCCGCGGACTTTCCAGACCGATTTGTTTGCGCTCGGCTGCTTGGTCTATGAACTCTCCACTGGGATTCGCCCGTATGACGAGATCGATGATGATGAAGTCGAAAGGCTCTATAAGGCACAGACATTTCCGAACCTTGACGGTCTGAAATACCGGAATATCATCTACAAATGCTGGACTTCCCAATATGAAGGCGTCGACGCACTCCGGGTTGATTACAGCCATTACACTCATCAGGCAGATAAAGGGGGAATCTTGCAGCACTATGGAAGTACATAACGTCAAGCGTATTCGAAAAGCAACACACTGCAATCGTGCTAGGTACGATTGGTGTTAGCTTTGCTTGGATATGGATCACTCGGATGCGAAACTAGCAATGCTTTCATTCATGCAGATTCGCCCTATAACTCCTACTGCTGATAGACTTGTGATATCGCTGTACAGCAGGTCTTATTGAGGAATTTCCAGAATTCGAGGCTGCTTTATACCACACCGATTATCATGTGCGCATCTGGCGCGAAGCTTCCTCCAACTACCTTTGGTCGCGGTCGAGGGCACTTCCATAATACACCAAGCGACGAGACGTGATGGATTGGCTGGCAACGCTTGGCACAAGAGTCACTACAAAGCTCTGGCACAGCTATGTCCCCTTTTGAGCTGATCATCAACTGCACAATGATGCCAGATTCACTATTCCCCCCCTCCTTTCTGGTGAGAGGATGTAGCGACATCCTACCGTCTACGTAAGAGTATACCCAATGATTCCGGGACCAAAGCAGCAAGCAGGTGATGAGCGAGAAGACCAGGCGGTCTCTGCACCTTAGCATTTTCTGGACCCAAGGCCGGCCCTGGGTGTCTATGGCCGTCCGCCATCCGAATCCGCCCTAGAGCCATTGAGAGAAGCATGCCCTGGGCGCCCATACTTATGGAAGATATAACAATAACAGCACGAGAATGAGATACAGAGGAAGGTCCCAGCGATCGCTTTACGCATCCGCGCAGTCTGTCCATTCCAACTTTAACCTTACGGCTCCTGGGAATATAAAAGACACCTGCAGTGTACGGGGGCGCCGCCTCGTGCTTTATGGATATGGTACCTAGTTGCCTCTAGGACTCCGTATATACTGGAATCCGACGAATTGTCCTTCGTCTCAACTACGGTACCTAACTCTAGTAGCTCCATTCCGGACATCATCATGTCACCGTAGGCAACACGCTCAGATCTACGCTCGTATTCTTGCTGGAGGCCAGATGTGTGACTGGGTGCTTAGGTTAATCTACTGGGGAGACGTTGGTGAGAGAGATCCAGGGCAGCGGGATTTGGGCTGGGGTGGGGTGAACCGGTCAATTGTTCTAGAAGCAGCTGCAAGGATTCAAGGTATCAAGTAGGGACTATAAACTACGTAGGTTTGGCCGCAGTTACAAGTGAAGTATGGAACATCATATTTTGACTGTACAATCTTTAAAAAACCATGGTATATCCAAGCAAGTCAGATCAGACCAAAAACAAAAACAAAAATGCAAGAAGGGTCTAAAGCGCAAGTAAAACATTAGACATGCATGATAATCGTAACGTGGGAATGATACATAAACAGGGGCCGTGATATGTTTTCTATGTGCATGCACTCTACTCCTCGTCTTCCTCTTCCTCAGCGACCTAAAGCGACCGTTAGCATGTTGCGTTAAGTTGGTTAATGGGGGGGTGGGTGGCTTACTCCTTCGTGGAAGTTGCGGCCATCGGTAGTCTCCTTGATAACGCCAGCGCGGATGAGCCAGTCACCGAAGCGCTCGGGCTCCTCGCCGTCGGTGTTGCGCTCGAGAGCGTAGCGCTTCAGCAGGGGCTTCATGATGTCGAGGATCTCGTCCTCCTTGATGGAGGAGCGGTACAGCTTGTTCAGACGCTGGCCGTGGTAGCCACCACCCAGGTACATGTTGTAGGCGCCGTACGCCTTACCCACGAAGGCGACCTCCGCAAGCCAGGGGCGAGCGCAACCGTTGGGGCAACCGGTCATACGCATGACGATGCTGTCGCGGGCGAGACCGGCCTCCTCGAGGGTGGACTCGAGCTTGGAGATCAGGACGGGGAGGTAGCGCTCGGACTCGGCCATGGCGAGACCGCAGGTGGGGAAGGCAACACAGGCAGAGGATGAGAGGCGGAGACCGCTGAAGGAGGTGTTGTCCAGCTTGTACTTGGCCATCAGCTCCTTGATGGCGGGGAGGTCCTCGTCCTTGATGTTGGACAGGATCAAGTGCTGGTTACCGGTGAGGCGGAACTCTCCCTTGTTGAGGGTGGCGAGCTCGCGGAGACCGGTGCGCATGCGGAACTCGGCGGTGTCCTCGATACGGCCGTTCTCGATGAAGAAGGTGAAGTGGTTGAGACCGGTCTCATCCTTCAGCCAGCCAAAGGTGTCGACGTTGGAAGCGAACTTGAAGGGGCGGGGCTCGGCGAACTTCAGGCCGTCGAGCTGAGCCTCGACCTTCTCCTTGTATGCCTCGACACCCATGTCGTCGATAGTGTACTTGAGACGGGCGTGCTTACGGTTCTTACGGTCACCAAAGTCACGCTGGACGAGCATGATCTTCTCGCAGACAATGTGGACCTTGTCAGCGGGCACGTAACCGAACATGCGACCAGTCTGGGGGTACGTCTTCTTGTTGTTGTGAGTGCTTCCCATACCACCACCAGCAAGGACGTTGAAACCCTCGAGGTGACCGTCAGCGCCCTTGATGGCGATCAGACCGATGTCGTGAGCGTAAACGTCGGTATCGTTGTGAGGAGGAATGGCAATGGTGATCTTGAACTTTCGGGGCAGGTAGGTAGGACCGTACATGGGCTCGTGGTCGACAACGGCATCACCAGCAACCTGGACCTTCTTGTCGTCCTCATCCTTGAGCCAGATCTCGTGGTAGGCGGTGGTGGCGGGGAGAAGGTGGTCGCTGATCTTCTTGGAGATAGCGTGCACTTCACGGTGGTAGTAGGAGATCTCAGGAAGAGAACTGCACATGACGTTACGGTTGACATCACCGCAAGCGGCAATAGTGGTCATGAGAGCCTTGTTGATGGCGCGCATGGCACCGCGGAGGTTGCGCTTGACGACACCGTGGAACTGGAAGGTTTGACGGGTGGTGAGCTTCATGGTCTCGTTACCGTGAGAGCTGGAGATGGCGTCCATCTGCAACCACTGGGTGGGCGTAGCGACACCACCAGGGAGACGGCAACGGATCATGAAGCTGTAGGCAGGCTCGAGACCCTGGGCCTTGCGCTCGTCACGAACATCGCGGTCGTCCTGCATGTAGGTACCGTGGAACTTGGTCAGCTGCTGGTCACTGGCGGAGATGGCACCGGTGCTCTCGTCGAGAAGTCCCTCGGCGATGGTACCACGGAGGTAGTTGGACTGGATCTTGATGTCTTCGTTGGTCAAAGGAGCAGGTTCCTCAGGGAGACCCTCAACCTTGTCGACACCAAGAGCCTGCCAGATGCGGGGCTCCCACTCAGAGTAACCAGTCTGGAAGGCATCGGGGTCCTGATCGTCACCAAGACCAATGTCCGCAAGCTTGCGTCCACCGAGGAAGGCAATGCGAGCGTCCAAGTCCTTGGCGGGCTTGTTGTAGTAAATCTTGTCTTCCTTGCGGGGCCAGTAGTGGCTGTCACCGAGACCAAAAACGGAGTAGTTGATGGTGGATAGGTCAAGGTCACCAGTGTTCTTGACAAACTCCCAGAGGGCGCGGCCGTTCTGAGGAAACTCTCCCTGGCCAGCAGTACTGCTGATGAAAACGACATTCTCCTCAGTGGGCAGGTCCTCAAGAGGGTAGTCCTCCATCGCCATGACCATGGTCTTGAGACCACGAGCACGTCCACGGTTACCGAGTCGCTTGGCCAGGGTCGCAGCGTTACCACCGTCAGAGGCGAAGAGGATAGTCAAAGGAGCACCGAAAAGGCCTTCAAGCAGCTTCTCGTAGGAGTTCTTGGCCTTGCGCTTCTGGATAGAGCGGACCTCAGTACCGTAGGACTCGGAAAGGACAGACGAGAACTTGGGCTGGCGGTTCATGAGCTGGGAAAGCTGGTTGTCGCGGCGGAGGAACTCCTCAAGCTCGCGCTTCACGCGCTCGGAGTCAAGAGCGAACTTGGGCTCGCCCTTGTCCTCGTTGGCGGGGTTCCAGCGGTACAGAGGCCAGTAGCCGAGGTCGACAGCGTTCTTGGTCTCCTGGAGAACAGTGAGGGCGGAGTCGTTCTCCTGGTTGTAGGGGAGGTAGGCGACAACGATGGAGGGGCCCTTGAACTGCTCGGCCTCAGCCATGGCCTGGAGAACCTGAGTGTAAGAGCTGTAGACGGCAACAGAGGCGACGTAGGCGTTGCCATAGTTCATGGCGTACAGACCAATGTCCTTCTTTCTGCGGGTGGGGTCGGCCGCGGTGCGCTCAGAGTAGGGCTGAGAGTCGATAACGAGCATGTTCACGTCTGCACCGGAAGCGAGAACGTGGTGAACACCGGAGTTTCCAAGATCGTAGGCCCAGGCGTCCGAACCGATAAGCCACTGGGACTCATTGTAGAAAAGCTTCTTGTTCTGCAGGAGCTGCTTGGAGAGATCAGAGCCATCGTTGCCGAGACGAGCAATGACATCCGGGGCCAGCTTGTTGACCTTGATAGCGTCAGTGGCATTCAGAGCCCAGTCCGCAAGCCACTTGGGGACAACTTCGGTAGCGAAGCTGGTGGACTTGGAAGCAGCCTCAACCTCGCGGATGAAGCGCTGGCGGTGCTCCTTCCTGGCGATCAGGGAACCGAAACCGTACTCGGGGCTGGCGGCGATGGTGGAAGAGATACCAGCGTTGTTGGAGCCCAGCTGGTTGGCAAGGTACAGGCGCTCACCGAACAGCTGGTTGAGGATCTTCAGGTAAGCGTTCTCGATGCGGGGCTGCTCAAGAGCGGTCTCAAGCTTAGGAGCGTTGGAGCTGCCAATCTCGAGGCTCTGGATGGGAGAAGGAGAGCTCAGGTTCTGGACAATTCCGCGGAGAGCCTGGACGGCAGTGGAGGGCTCAACGTAGCCGAGTCTGTAGCCAACGATTTGTGGGCTGCGGCCTCCAGTAGCAGCGGGAGTCAGGCTGGAGAGGAGGTCCATGAACGAAGGGCCCCACCTCGTGGTCTTGCGGACCTGCTCGAGGACGGCAATCTTCTCAACGGAGCGGGGAATCGAGTTGGCGATCTCAGAGCCAACCCACGGGCGGTACAGACGAGCGGTGATCAGACCGATGTTAGCGAGCTCAGCGGAAACGTCCTCCTTCCCAAGAACATCGACGAAGACACCAGTCGAGCCGAAAACGAAGATAGCCTGCTTAGCGTCGGAGGGACCAGTGTATTCGATGGCACGGTAGTTGCGGCCGGTGGTTTCAGACAGGACCTTCCAGATTTGACTGGCCCAGCTGAAGATGTCGGAGGCACTCACAGGTCGGACGGATCCATCGACAGTGGTTGCAGCCGAGCTCGTTGCGCGGCTGTCGACGCTGCTGTCACGCTCTGAAGAGCCCACTGACGAGTTTGCAACGCTGCGGCTGGATGGCGTCTGAGAGGGCTGGGTAGGGGTGGCGGTTCCCTCGGCGGGGGTGGCTGAAGGGTTTTCCACGGTCTCGTCAGAAACAGTAGCGACACGGCCAGTCTCGGTGTAGAGGGTGTCGACACCGTGTCCCTCGGAGTGAGAAACGGCGCTCCCGCTCAGATCCAGAAGCGACCTGAAAGTTTGTGCGCTCTCCTGCTCGATAGCGTCGTCGTTTGCCGAGTTGGCGGGGTCGAAGAAGTGAATGACACCCTTGCCGGACTTGCGGGCCAGAGCATGCGCCGTCAACGCAATATCCTGGGCCTCTTGCAGGGTCTCGGAGTGCAAGAATGTGAAGCCGCATTGCCGGATGGAGCTGATCGCGGAGTAATCTGGGAAGGGGTATGGTTCCAGAGCGACGTGGATAACGACGGGGGAGTTCGCGAGGCGGTAGAGGTGAGGGATAGAGGAGAGGAGGGTAGACGAGCTTGTGACAGCGGACACGAGTTTGCCGGACTGCAGAGGGTGGAACGCGGAGAGGAGGGGGTCTTCGTTGTATCGGACAGAGACAACCTGCAAGCAAGATCAGAAGCCATCATGGCCCACTGGCGCAGAATACTCACATCTGGCACGCCCTCAGGAACCACGCTGCGAGCACCGGAAGCCTTGAGACCCTTCAAGGTCTTGCTGAACACGGAGTCGGACTGGAGGGAGGGCTGGACGGAGAGGACGACCTCGCTGGCCTGGTAAGCGATTCTCGCCACTGGATGCAAATTAGCGATTGAGCGCAAAGCCAATAGCAAAATCACAAAAGCGATCATGATCCTTGCCAAAACCCATGCCACAAAGGAGTCATACCAGCCTCTCCAGCGGATGTAATGGGAGCCATATTGGCGACCACAGACAGTGGGATATAGTAGGTAGGGTTGGAGGGGTTGGATATCACCGCATACGGTGATTCCTAGAAAAGAGGCAAGACAATGGAGGAGGAGTGAGGAATTGAAGGGAGAGAAAAGGAAGACAGAGCCAGCGGCGTCTGATATTTTTTTAAAGTTAGCAGTGTTTTCTCCTCACTGCTCGTCAACTCCAACTGCGGGCGAATCTAAGGCATCCGCAGGGACTTTTTCGAGGCCTTCTCCGCCATCGGGATTTGATCAGCGAATCACTGATTGGTGTGAGATCACGACATCGATGCAAACAGATTGTCGTCTTAAGTGCAAACACCCCCGATCGGGCAAAGTGCGGGGTTCCCGTGACTCGGCCGTGAGCACGCCAGCCGAAGCACCGGCTTTCCCACCGGGACGGGGTGCGATGCACAATTCTAGATCTGGAGATTCGACCCGCACAAAGTAGATAATGTCCAAGTAATGCAGCATTTGAGATACAACCTATTTCATGGCTATAAGGGACGATGATAGATCCTTCCAACGCCGTACAAAAGAAACCAAGCCCGTATCAATGTCATATCATATACATGTCCTAGACTCCAGGACCTTGGGACCCAACTGTCCCCAGCAGCCAATGCAGCTGGTTGACTCCAAGACGTCCTCAGTGTCAAGCTCAAAGCCCCATGAATCCCGACCTAACGCCTCCACCATCCAGAGCAGCGGGCGGACGCAGACAGTAACTGTCACGCAATTGCCGCCGACTGATGACCAAGTTATGTATATCGTCACAGCATATAAATCCAAAAGCGCAGACCAAGTATGCAGTAGGTAGGAAGAAATTTGTGGATGTGAGGATCAAGGGGTGCTTCCTGTAGCCGCCGCGTAGTCTTTCCATGCGAAGTTTGTTTCCTGGTAGATGAAAGCTGGTAAGAGCCCTCTGATCTACCTTGTCTCGTCCCAATCCTGAACTTTGATGGTCAAGCCCGGACTTGGGAGCGATTCGTGAATGGGCTGCTGCAAAGAGGCGGCTTGCACGACAGACTGAGATGGTTTAGGCGGTCCAGTTCCCGATCGACGTCTCCTCTCACGCTCGAGAGCGCCAGGAAGTTCACTGCCCTGTCCGCTAGGGCGGAAGCGGTGGCTCATGTTGACCCAGTCGCCGTTTCCATCGTCCTCCTCACCAAGCCAGTAGTTCCTGCCGACACTGATCATGGCGCGTCCCAGTTTTCCCTTCCATCCCTGGCCTTCGGGGGTGTATGGCGAGAACGGCTCCCGGTCGATGTCGGCGACACTCGCCATGCTAGCGACGGACGTATTCCGGCTGTGGGTGGGGAGCTGGGTGTGACGAGGCATAGCAACGTACAGTCGCAGAGTTTGGCGAGCAAACGCTAGCATCACAAAGACGAAGTACAGACGGATAGTCCATAGCACACAGATGAAGAAGATGCTCTGGAAGCTCTCGGGCTGAGAGACCGCATTGCCGAACTGATCGTTCCTCGCGCTGAAGGAGGTTCTAGCGGCGGTCTTGGATGTGTCGTATTCGGAGCCGGTGAATCCAGCAGTCTGGCCGATCGTATCGCTACCGGGGCCGGATGCTTTCTTGTTGTCGTCGTCCGTGTGCTGGGCGATAACCAAGAACCAAGTCACGCCGAAAGCCGCGGTGTAGGCGGCGTTGATCGCGCTGTCGAAAACATACAGCCAGGCGAGCGCAAGGCATTGCAGGGGAGATTGTTTTCGGATGTGCGGGAAGAGCAGTACTGTGCTGGCGAGTGCGATGAGGGAGTAGAGGTACATCGACAGCTGAACTGGCGAGAGGTGGTATCCGGTCAGCAGTGCGAGCAAGCCATAGAGACCGCTAATTTTGTTAAGAAGTAGTGACAGCGTAATCAGCGAAGCGCCTGTTTGTAGACTCATGACGTAGAGAAAGGTCTATTGTAGCGAGCATCCCCGTCGCCGGGGAAATAATCCGTTAGCGATCGCGCTGACGGAGGTAGGCGGATAGACGAAGAACACGAACTTACCTGCGGCCGCGGAATGCGGAGAAAACGAGTCGAAAACCCCATCTTGGATATCGCCAGCTGGGATATCGAAAGATCGGGTTCAGAGATGCTGAGAGAATAGGAAGTGATGCGAAGAGCAGCAGCAGGACAATGAGAGAGAGGAGCTGGGGGAAGAAAAATAGGCTGAGGTCCGTCAGCCCAATGACCAGCGCTTAACCAGGGGCGGCGTTCCGAAGCCTCCGTCCCGGCAGATCGTTGCCCTTTTATTTCGTCATCTTCTGCAGGATCAAGGACAGGGTGCTTTCTCAAACCTCAGTAATATAATTAAATGATGTCTGATGGAGTCGGATGCAATTGGCAATGGAGGTAATGTTTCCCCTTTACTGCGAAACCACTCAACTCCCCAAGACCCGAAGCATCTCCGTCGTATTCGTTTCCGAATTGAGCAGTAGTCTAGAGGCACCTGCATCGCCTCAACCATAGTGGGTCAATCATCACCTAGCCATCTGGTGTTGTTTACATGGAGTGATCAAGCCATGCATCGGGCGCCTCCGTATATTGCCCTGCCGTCTTAACTCCAAGTTGCGCAAGGCATACCTGGACTTTGCAGATGGCCAGGATATCTTGCACTGTATGACCATGATAGGCGAGCACGGTGATTTATGCCTTGGATCTGCCCAAAATATATAACTGCGACAGTTCCAAATGACACGACAAGGCCAAGCTTGATCCGTTCACTAGTAGAAGATAGCTTACTGTAGAAACGATGCTGCCTGCTTCTACTTGTACTAAACGCTCAAATTGACGGGGACATATACAGAAAATGCCTGGAGAAGAATTGGTACAAAGCTCTAAGGCAGATAAGCAACCAAGCTACTAAGAAGCCAGCCCAAGAAGGAAGAGATGCTGGATACAAGCAGAACGCCTTCCAATAAGCCTCACGGCGGTAGCAAGAGCAAAAGATCATTCAAGAAAAAGCATTGATCTAGACTCGCTAGTCAACCCATGCGCAAGGGAAATGTACATCTTAAGAATGGCAGATATTATAAACAATCCCAATCATCATTATTGAGATTCGAATAGGCGGAGCTACATGGTGCCCAGGAAATCAGCACGCGCATCCTTCGTTAGTGGTCGTTTCTTTGGGTTGGATATTGACGTCAATCACTGTGCAGCGGTCAGTAAACAAAACAGAGACAATAAGCTACGTTGAACAAACGAACTTTGGCTTTCTCCCCTGTTGGCTTCTCCCTCCATACCGGGCAGCGCCTGAGCTATCCGCCTGAACAATTGCTTAACGTTGTGGCCGACCTTCGCACTAGTCTCGATAAACATCAGGCCGTTCTTCTTGGCCTCCTCTTCACCCTGCGCTGTCGTAACTTCTCGCTTGTCGCTCAAATCGGTCTTGTTGCCCACCAGCACAATAATCACGTCGTTTCCGCGCTCGCCCCGCACATCGTCAATCCATTTCCTCGTGTTCTGGAAGGATTTGGCGTTCGAGATATCGTAAACGACGACCGCTACGCTGGAGTCACGAATGTAGGAAGGAATTAGGGATCGGAATCGCTCCTGGCCGGCGGTATCCCAGAGCTGGAGTCGAACCGTTCGGTCCTCGAGGTACATAGTCTAGCGCGCCGAGCGTCAGCTTTATGGTTCGAGGCAAAATTCCGGTTCTAGGCTCCGGATGGGCCTCTCTTTGTCCTGAGGCCTGGTCCGTGGGGTTGCTCACCTTTGACAGGAAGTCAATTCCTATCGTTGCCTGGTATGTGTTGTCGAACGAGTCGTACATGAATCTGGTGATCAAAGATGTCTTGCCCACTGTAAATCAAGCATTAGAGACCCATGCGCCTAATTATTGAGGTGACGGAGCTTTCGTACCGCTTTGTTCGCCGAGGAAGACGAGCCTGGGACAAGTTAGCAAATTATCCGGCAGCATACATTCACCGCAGACCAACGTACTTGAACTTCTTCAAGGGGTTCGAATACGACCCCGCCGCAGATGCTGAAGCCATGAGGACAAAGGGATGAGTGTAGAGTCAGGGGAGATCGGGCGGTGGGAGAGGAATAGGAGGCCGGCGGATTAAAAGCGCCGTAAGGTCATAGAAAGAGGATGCGAAAAGATGACAAGGGGAAGAGAGATTAAACAAGGATGCCTGCAGGAGGCTGCGACCAAACCAGCGGCGTGCGAGGAGTCCGGGAGGTCGATTGGAAGAGGAAGCTCTAGTCTATGGGCCTGTCTGGGGAACCGGTCTGATAGCGATGGCCCGTGGTTACAGTACTGCCGCCGCCCCACGGATAAATGCGGCCCGACCTCCACCTGCGACTTGTTGCTTTCCAGCTCAGCCTGGCAGAGACCAAGCTCCGCCAAACAGTCGTTCATCCACCCTACCGACTCGTCTTCACGCCCTCGAGACCTTACTGCTTGCTTTGGTATCCTCCAGCTTCTCTGGTTGTCAAGTTGGGGGTCATCATGGGTCTCTCTTATCCGTTCGGTTTCGCAACCGTGTTCCTTGTGGTGGTCGGATTGTGTAAGTGCTGTTGAAACGCTTGAGGCAGCATCTGCTAATGACGTCTTTAGATCTGCTCTTCCATGGAGAGGGTGAACAATTCAATGTCTGATGCTGTCCCGAGTCCGAATACCGATGATATTCCCGCTAACCCGGTCAGGTCGGCCAATTCCTCGAATCCGTGTCTCCGTATGTCTGGGCGAATATCGGAATCGCTATGTGCATTGGGTTGTCGGTCGTCGGTGCTGCATGGTATGATAAATTGTGGTGGGATGTTTTAGGACTCAGTATCTGACGGGCGTGCAGGGGTATCTTCCTCACCGGTTCCTCGATTGTCGGCGGAGGTGTCAAGGCTCCGCGGATCCGCACCAAGAACTTGATCTCGATCATTTTCTGCGAAGTCGTCGCTATCTACGGTGTCATCATGGCTATCGTCTTTTCCTCGAAGCTCAACCTCGCAACCGGCGACGAGATCTTCTCCGCCAGCAGCTACTACACCGGCTATGCGCTCTTCTGGGGAGGAATCACTGTTGGCGCCTGCAACCTGATTTGCGGTATCTCCGTCGGTATCAACGGAAGCGGTGCAGCTCTCGCCGATGCTGCTGACCCAAGCTTGTTCGTCCGCCCAGTCTTCCGTCTACCGCTTCAAACCTCTAACAGTAATGCAGGTTCGTCAAGATCCTTGTCGTCGAAATCTTCAGTTCCGTCCTCGGTCTCTTCGGTCTCATTGTCGGTCTACTGGTCCAGGGCAAGGCCGCCGAGTTCGGAGCCGCGTAAGGCACTTCTCTGCGAGAGTCGCCTCAATCAACGACGGCCATACCATTTGTACGACTTCTACTGATCTCTTTCTTGGCTTCGATTTGTCCTCTTTATATAGCGCATGGAGGCGTTGGGTCCGATTCGGCTGTTGAGACTTTGCCTGCGCGGCTCATGGATAGGCCAGGCATGGCAGTCTTTTGGTTTGCGCGATGATCCCAATGGACATGGCATGGTGTACAGTATAGGCGCAGGAATAATGGACGTTCCATCTATACATAGACTGAATGAAACACATTTAAACACCTACGTCCCCCCAATCCTCCCATCACAAAACAGCCGAATCCCCCGCCCTCTTTCTCACAAACACCGCCTCCGCAGTTGTACAGACAACCCCATCCCCATCCCTAACAACCCCCTCAATAAACACCTTCCGCCCCTCAACCCCCACCACTCTCGCCGTGGCAACAATCACCGTCCCCCCCTCAGGTACAAAAACAGGCCGTCTATACACCACACCCAGCTGAGCCGTGAACATCCCGCACCCGCCATCCAACCCCGCGACCGCGACTAGATTCCCGCACACCTCGTCCAGAGCCGTCGCTAGGAACCCGCCGTGTGCGATCCCCGTTTGCCCTGTTATGCCGGGCCCGACGTGCAGGAGGAGGTGGCCTTCTGCTTCTGCTTCTGCCTCTGCCTCGGTTGATGGTGTTCGGGATTGGGTTGGAGTTCGCGAGAGGAAGAGTGTAGCTTGCACCGCGCTGCTGCAGCAGCATGTTACGCGGAAGAACGGGTTTCCGTCTTGCATTTCTTGCCAGGAGGTTGGGGTTGTGGTTGCGGTGTTGGGGTCTAGATTGGGGGTTGGATCTCGTGTATGGTGGGTGTAGGAGCGGTCCTTTAGGAGGGAATTTGTGAAGGGGTTCTTCGAGAAGGGCTCATATTTTTGTATAGCGGTAGTCGTGGGAAGATCGGTGGACATTATTCAGTCCTGTAACTGATTTACTGCTGGATGTATATATTTTGGGTGCTTGTGGGATGAGCTGGGCAGTCGTGCGGAGGATATATAACCGGACAAATTGAGAAAGCTGTGGTAGAAGAGCGAAACACTATGCCATGAATGAATTGAGATAGTAAATTGGATGGGCAGTCTATTTAAGAAAGCAAACCATGAGGATGGACTTGTGGGTTGATTCCCCTCGTTTCGCGATCTATACCGACGGCCGCCGCAGCCGAGGTATCGCGAGAGCCACAAAGTGGAGGACAGCTCTACAACCACAAATTGCGATTATGCTAGGTATGGCTCTACCAATTTTCTTCGAAGCCTACGAATAAGCTACAGCAGGATGGAAATGAATATAGAAACAGAGGAACAACATAGCTGCGAACAAGGTCTTTGAGAAGGGTATCTAGTTATCATCCTATCATTCCACCCAAGCAAATCCAACAAAATAAGACCCAGAACCAAATGACCATACCATATGCGCCTAAATCATAACAAGTTAATCAATATTTCCCCTTATGATACTTCCACCCCTTCTTCTTCTCGGCCCTCAGCGCCGGCAACACCGCATCCCGACTCTGCTTCCTTGCGATCTCGATAACAAGGAAGCGGACGAAGTCCGTGAGCGTCCAGTAGCTGCTATGCGCGCTCAGCATGTTGAGGTACTGGATGTTCAGTGCGCCACCGCCTCCAGAGAGGAAGTAGTCGACCTGCCCGTTGTCGTTCAGCAGGAGCATGCGCTTCTCGGCTATTTCTTCGCGCGTGAAATCGTGCGTTTCCAGCTCTACGTTGGAGGGCAGCTTGGCGATTAGGGAGGGTCGCTCGGGGGCGGAGACGGCGGATGTGCTCCAGCGGAAGGCGCCGCCGATGGAGCCCCAGAAGGAGGATGTTGAGCCGGGGATGGAGGCGGTTTTGATGGAGTTGGCTAGGTCGCTGTCGACAGCGGCGTTGACGCGGTAGGCGATTGCTGAGACAGTCAGTATGGGCATATTGGCTAAGGGGCCCGGAAGGCGACGTACGATCTGTGGTATGCATGATATTGTAGAGATTGTCCACCGCTAAGCAGCCGTACGTGTCTGCCTCGCCTGCAACTCCGCGGAGCCGGTCGTCTCCCTCGGAGCCTGGCTTATCACGTCCCTTCCGAGGAGAAAGGTTCGCTATGAGAGTGTTAGACCAGCGAATATGTGTACAGGGCATCTCCCACCTTTGTTGATGAACAAGAACAAGCCCACCGGACTTCCGCAGATGAACAGGTTCTTCGTGTCGAATTCGAAAATGTCCAGGTGAACGGGGATGCTGGAAAATTCAAAGTCTGGAATTTTGGTAGGCTGGTGACTGAGGATGTCTACTGCCAATGGCCATCGCGCTTCCAAGCGAGTGCGCAACCAAATGGACACGGCCATTCTGCTGAAACCCGGGGTTATTCTTGCACCAAAGACGAAAGACGCGATTGGCCTCTTTGACGACGGCTTGGATCATCTTCGGTTTGTGGTGTGACAAGTAGTATGGAATGTCCAAGATGACGTCGCTGATCAGGGACCGTACAGCTGGGATGGTCTCTGGGGTGATGTCCTTCAACGTGAAATGATTCGAAGCTGGGTCATCTGCCACCTGAGCCTCGAGGTTGGGGTCGTCCAAGGACAATGTCGAGCGCCAATTGATGGGAAGGACCATGATGCCTCCATGATTCTCTCGCACATGTGGCCATACTTGCTCGCTATTCAGCTCCACATTTACCTGTCGACGAAAGGCGTTGATGGCATGGGTGAAATGAAAGCTCTCCATGCGTTCCGAGAGCTTTTGCCCTATACCGTGGATGACAAAGACCAGGTCAGTTGGTGTCGGCCTCGCCTCCTCCATTGCGCAGGCATAGCAAATCTCGCCGGCTCGACTGGGCCTCATTGTCTTGTCTTGAGCGCCGCGAAGGTAGTTCCGAACGTCGACAGGACTGGGCTTGGATGGGTGTAGTTTCTCCCACTGGCTTCGGCTGAAGCCGCGGACCACGGGTATACCGATTTGACGTCCCTTCCGGATGGCGCTGAGCGGTCTTCTCCCCCTCGATGCAGACGGCAACAAACTAGGGCGAAGGACCTGCGCGTTCTTTCCATCAACATACACAACACTCGAGGTCATGTAGGGCTTGACAGCCGCAGCGTGAGCGGCCGAGCCTCCAGAAGCCCAATTATCAGCATAAGCCGCCGACTCCGAGTGCCGATTCTCGACCTCGCGAACGTTAGCATCTATGCTCGAAGAGAGATCGTCCTTGGGCCATAACCGGTGCACGATCTTCATCTCAGCCTCCGCTCCGTTCTCCACACAGCTGTTGAGTTCGTCCTGCCACGTCTCGGTCCACGGCTTCAAGTAAATGTATCCCTCCTCTAGTCTATTAGCGAGTTCCGTCTCTACCGGTAACATTGTATTCTTATAAAACCAAGTTGCGCGAAGAACATTGGATATATCGTGGAGTGGGCTCCAGTAAATCGGTTTCATCTACGAGATATAAGTATAAGAAGAAGAGAGGCGAGTAAATGGTACCTTTAGATTTGGTAGCTCGACTAGGTGAAGTCGAGACACGCCAACTGGGATCTTTGAGGTGTCATTGTCGTCTTCTTTCTCGATATCAGTGTCTTCGACGGACTCGTCTTCCACCTCCTCCTGATAGGTGCTAGTTCTGAGACCAGAAGGCTTCGACGCGGAGTAGCTCTGGCTAGCGGTCTGCTCATGAGAACTCTGAGGCACATCCCTAACAGAAATAGACTCCACAGATCGGGATAGAGGACTAGATGACTGGGTGACGGGAGCTCTGATGAAAGGCGATCCACTGATGCTGCCGTCGCGAGAGTAATGACCAAAGGAACCTACGCTGCCTGGGTCAAGACTTGGCTCGTCTCCTGGATCGCCGAGTCTGCGACGGGAACTTCTCGCGTTGGCAGAAGGAGAAAGCTCCCGTTTGCGATGAAAAGGGTTGCTGGTCGAAAGGCTGCCACCAACACTGCTGTTTGGCGCCGACTGGTCACTCGAATATTTCGATCCATCAGCTTGGTATTCCGCGCTACCGGGAGGGTCGTCCGAGCGAGAGGCTGGCCTTTGGGGCAGAGTCTGCGTATACGGGCCTGAAGAAGTCCCAGGACGTCGGTTTCGCTGACTCCCAGCCCTCCGCGGACTGTCTGCTCCGCTTTCCACGCCTTCCCTCCCGGGAACAGCTATACCGGTGTTTGTCTTCGGAGGGTCCGCATCGCGAGCTTTACGCTTTGCATTCTCCTGCAGCTTCTGCACGCGTATTGATAGCCAGGCTTCTTCTAGCGCGAGGTTGTCTCTAACGGAAAACGGCTGCGGCGGTACTCTCTCGTCATGGGCCTGACCGCCCGACGAAGGTGGCAGAGAACTGAGAGGGTCGTCTATCGGTAGAGAAGATACGTAGAAGAACTGAGGCCGGGGACGGGGCGGCTGGATCAACGAGTGCCAGGTAGAGGGGTTCGGATCGTCATCAGCGAGGAGGCACGTCGGTCCGTAAGTGTGTAGAGGGCCGGCCATCGTTGCTTTAAGATCGTGGCGGTTTCTATTCGAAAATGAAAAAAAGCGACAGTAAACAATGGCTGGCGCGGTTAGTCAAACAAAGCACTCATTATCGTTAGTAGAGCTCGAAGCTTTGGCTGGAGCCTTCAGTCCTGGCGCGGACTGGCTGACCGTTTCGCAAGGGATGACATCAAGAGCGACAGCCACGGAGCTTGAAACATGCGAGAGACAATGCATCAAGTTTCCAGCCTCGCAGCCGATGGTCGCTGGTAGAGTAATTCCGGAGGGAAAGAGTGGTTTAACTTCTGAGGCTTGTGAGAGGTGAGGGACTGGGCTGGCCTCGCTCCTTTGGCGATCCGTCCGGGCGATGACGTCGCCCACGTGTGCCGCCAAACAAGGGTCTTCCTCTTCCTCTTCCTCTTCCTCCACTCACCGCAATCTCTCGTCTACGATGATCGATCGATCAATCTTGTGGAGAACGCGTTTGAGTATGTATATGAAGTGGAGAAGACGACTGCATTTCTGTCGAAAAGATAACAAGAGCCAAGCTAAATAAGGATGTGGTATCAAGATCGCTAATCATACAGGATGTTCGTGTTGTTACAAGTGAGAACGAGAGTGGAGTGTATGGCTTCAGCGCGATGAAAAGCTGGTGCTCGGCGAGATAGTCCGCCCACCTTCAGCAAGATATCTCCGCGCCCGCTGCTCCTTCATCCAGACCAATGTCCGCATCTGCAGCTCTTCAAAAGCAAGGAACGTGGCAAGTGGCGCGCCCAGCATGTCGAGAAGTTTCTGGATGTCGTGCATGTGCTTGCGGATGACGCTGTCCGGTGCACAGAATGTTCGGACGCTCATTTCCTTGACGACGGCTTTCCAATTGTGGAGATTCGAGTGCAGGGCTACGGGATTGGTTGAGCTCTCGCCGTTGAAGTGCAGGGTTCGAATGTTGGACAGGATCAGCTGACGCTGCGTGGCTTGGTCATACAGGAACTCTACCACGCCGGGTCGATTTTTGGAGGCCCAGAACTTGTTGATCTTGTTGATGGACTCTTCGGATACACGACCGCCTGCGTGCTCTTGGATGAGGAACTGGTTGGCGCTGACGCAAATCATCATCTCCATCTCCGAGTATAGCTTCGATTGTGCGGCGGCGTCAAGCGAGACGGCGCATGTCGAGGTCGGCGTGAACTTCGACTGACGGGGAACGTGCAGAAGGATGGGATGTGCTTTGACCATGTCGATGGCCTGGTAAAGTTAGCATCTTGTCGGTATTGAGGGGATGGCAGACTCACGATTCCTTCGACGTGCTGCTTGAACTTCTTCCCGAGACTCACCAGGCTCCTGTACTTCGGCTTCTTAGGCAGCGGTGCCTCCAGGTCAGCAGTGCAGCCGAGCCAGCCCTTGCTGCCGAAAAGCTGCTTGTGCGAGGACCGGACCGAGCTGAAGGGATTTTCGAGAGTGTCAACGAGCTCGTCGTCATCGCTGCACTCCCGCACAGGGGACAAGGCTCTCTTCGGGAACTCCTCATCGTCGACAATTGCAACCTGGCTGGACTCGAGCTCATGATGCTCGTCGTAGGTGGGTTTGAACTGGCCGCCGCCGTGGAAGGTGACCTTGGGACTGCGAGGGAGAGCACCATGCGCAATCGGCTTGATGCGGAATGAAGGGGAAGTGGCCATGTCGATGGAAGGAGAAGGGAAGTCGGAACCAGAGGTGATTGAGGGAAGCGAGGAAGAGCTCGACAAGCTGTCGTTGCAGAGCGAGACGTCCGAGGCATCGCGAGGATCGTCCCAGAAGGTCCTGTACTCCTCATAGAAGGGGTTGAGCTTGACGATGTCCTCGTAGGTCATGCCTCTGCTTCTGGTTAGCACTGACAAGATCGTCTAGGGCTTGACTTACTCGAGATCGAGCATGATGGGGACTTCGCAAGTTTCGGGGGCCATTTTGCTGGGATACGCGTTTGGCAGTATGCCTTGATAATGGAAAGATAGTAGGTGATGTTCTGAACTTGGGATCAGAACGAGCTGGAGAGATGTTCTAAACTTGGGATCAGAGCGAGCTGGAGGAGATATTCTAAACTTGGGTTCAGAAAGAGCTGGAGGAGACGAAGATGAGATCTCTAGAGTGAAGCGTCTACAGTGAATTTATCTACGACAGTCACCTCTCTGGTGAATCTGCCTGTACTCGAATACGCATTGTTGATTGAGTCTTCGAGGCCTATTCAGAACAATAGCATAGCCAGGCAGTCATGGAGTTGTGATTGGTATGGAGCGTTGCCTATTCAGGGAGTCTGTATTGTTACTGTGGAGTAGGTGGTGAGGTGATTATGCAGGTACAGGGAAGAGCCACCAGGAGGACAATTATTCCTATTTTCATGACTAGGTTATTCAGACAACAATAGGGAAAGCAGGCCATTGTTCTATTGTCCACCGTTTCAATAGAAATTTCCCTTGCGTCTATTGTGTAGTCAATGGCTCTATTCATCAAATGAGATGCTAACACATGCATCTTAGGCTGACTTGCCATGGGCACAGACCGAGGAAACTGACTCCCAAGACGTCTCTCCTGAGCAGAATCCGTACTCACCCTCGGAATGGATCGAGGTACGCAGTCCCGTCACACTCAATGATCCAGGCAACCAGGCAGTAACTCGGCATGCCGTAAGGCAAGAAAGGGCCCACGAACTCGAGGCATGATCTGCCGACTACGCTACGCGCAAATCGATGAGGACGTCACTGATAACGCTGGTGAATGATCTGCAAGGCTGGGGTAATCTCTGGATCTTGTTTCGGTGACGGAGGGCAGAGCGGAGGGAGTCTACGGTAGTCGTTCTTAGACTTGGAAGTAGAGTGTCAGAAAAGCCGACATCGAGTGCCCGCGGAACGGAGATTAGCAGTCTTAATTAATCGGTGCCTTGTCTGGCGACCGGTGACAGCAACGGATATGCGGAAAACAGCTCCACTACAGCTTTGATCGGACGGGGACGCAGCACGGTAGTCTGGGTGCTCGGGAAGCTTGGCGGAATGAGGCTATACCTACAGCTGTCAACCTCGGGATTTATCGAGGTCTCTGTACGTATAGCTCAATCCCACGGGGACATGAAAAAAGGTTCTCAAGGGCAGAATTAATCAATTGAGTAGATTTTCCTCCTCAATAGTTACACTCAGTAAGCAGCATCCCGTGAAAGGAGCGCCAGCTGATAACAGTCGCATCAGCTTGTATGCGGTGGATTAAAACTCAGGCAGCCAACCAATGCAAGGCCAGCGAAATCTCAGCCAAGCACAAAAATTCCCGGGCCTCTTGCCGACAGGCAGATCACGTGGTTGCTCTCCACTTGCCGAGCTGCTAGCCGCCGCCAATTTCGCCATTTTGGAGGCCCGGAAAGCGCACCGGCATTGGCTTTGCCTCCCCGCAAACCCCCAGTTCGTTGCTGACTGCTGCCCTGCTCCGAGTGGCCCCCTGCGCTCTGGCTCAGCCTACAGGACCTGCTCGTCTTTTCTGTGTCCCCACGATCCAGCCGAGATGATTGCCGTTGTGGTTCTCCGTTGGGCCTACCCAGCGCAACATGCTCTCTTTCCCCAGTCTCGCCAAATTTATTATATATGAGCCCTTCAGCCCATCTCCATCATGGCCACTATTCCTCCTCTATCTTCTCCTCTCGCGCATTCTGGTGGTGATAAAAGGTACATACCTCTTTTCCTACTGCAGCACTGCGAGGTCTAGTTCTTGGCGATCATTTCATCGGATAATCGGCTGTCTACACCATAATGACGACCGACAGTTACCCCAAGAAGTATGACATTGTCATCGTGGGCGCTGGCCCCGTGGGCATCCTCCTCTCGCTTTGCATGTCCCGCTGGGGCTACAAGGTGAAGCACATCGACAACCGCCCCGTGCCTACCGCGACTGGCCGCGCCGATGGCATCCAGCCCCGTTCTACCGAGATCCTGCGCAACCTGGGCCTCAAGCGCCAGATCATGGCCTACGACCCGGCCAAGGTGTACGACGTTTCTTTCTGGGATCCCCGCCCGGATGGTTCTGGTATCCAGCGGACTGGCAACTGGCCTAGCTGCCCTCGCTTCATCGACACACGATACCCCTTCACCACCCTTGTGCACCAGGGTAAGATCGAGACTGTTTTCCTCGACGAGATCAAAAAGGCCGGCACCACTGTTGAGCGCCCATGGACCATCACTGGGTTCAAGAACGACGGCCTAGACGAGACCTACCCCGTGCAGGTGCAGCTCAAGTGCCTCGACACCAACGTCATTGAGACCGTTCGCGCCAAGTACCTGTTCAGTGGTGAGGGCGCTCGCAGCTTCGTTCGCGAGCAGCTTGGTATTCAGATCCGCCACAAGGATCCTATCTCCTACGTCTGGGGTGTCATGGACGGTGTCGTCAGGACCGACTTCCCTGATATCAAGGTACGGACGTTTCCTATTCTGCTTGTTGATCGTCGCTAACCGACTTTTGTGTAGACCAAGTGCACCATCCACTCCGACGCCGGCTCCATCATGGTTATTCCCCGCGAGGACGACATGGTCCGCCTCTACGTCCAGATCGCTTCCTCCACAGACCCCGACTTCAACCCCCGAAAGACCGCTACCGCGGAGGAGGTCCAGAACGTCGCAAAGAAGATCCTCAAGCCATACTACTTGGAATGGGACCGCGTGGAGTGGTACTCGGTCTACCCCATTGGGCAGGGTATCTCCGAGAAGTACACACTGGACGAGCGCGTTTTCATGGGAGGCGACGCCTGCCACACTCACAGCGTAAGTCTATCCAAGTCGTGTTTTCGGAAGCGTGCTAACTCTGCATAGCCCAAGGCTGGTCAGGGCATGAACACCGCCTTCCACGATGCCCTCAACATGGCCTGGAAGATCCACGCCGTCGAATCCGGACTGGCTCAGCGCTCCACCCTGAGAACCTACGAGACCGAGAGAAAGAACATTGCCGAGACTCTGCTCGACTTTGACAACAAGTACGCTGCTCTGTTCTCCAAGCGCCGCCCCAACGCCGGCGAGGTTGGCGAGGCTGCCAGCGCCGAGACCGGCCGCAGTGCGGAAGAAGACCCTTTCGTCAAGACGTTCAAGGATTCCTGCGAGTTTACCAGCGGTTACGGTGTCGCCTACCAGCCCAATATCTTCAACTGGGACTCCGCCCACCCTGCCCAGTCTCCGCTGTTCAACGTCCCTGGTATCAACCTGGTAACCGGAAAGGCCTTCACGCCCTCCACTGTTACTCGCCTCGCGGATTCCAACTTCGTGCACCTTGAGCAGGAGGTTCCCGCCAACGGAGCCTTCCGCATCTTCATCTTCGCCGGTCGGCAAAACAAGAGCAAGCAGGCCATCACCGACTTCGCCGCCAACCTCGAAAAGGAGCGATCCTTCCTCTCCGCATACCGCCGGTCTGACATTGGCGATGTCTCCTTCTTCGAGCGCCACCTCCCTCACTCCAAGCTCTTCACTCTCTGCCTGATCTTCGCCGAGAAGAAGAATGAGATCGATATCGACTCTGTGCCCCAGATTCTCCGCGACTACCGTTACCACATCTACTCGGACGACATTCCTGACGTGCGCGTGCCCAACGCTACCTATGCCGCTCACGAGAAGCTCGGATTTGACCCTGAGAAGGGTGGTGTTGTCGTTACTCGCCCTGACAGCCACATTGCGTGCACCGTGCAACTGACCGAGGGTAGTGGTACCGTGGATGCTCTCAACGCCTATTTCGGCTCGTTCTCCACGAAGCCTTTGGGTCAGGACCAGGCTAGCCGCCTGTAGTCGAATCTGACGTCCAGAATCTAAGCTTGTGTTTTTGTATATATTATGTGGTTGGCCTTGTGTCTCAGTGTTCATGATTAGCATTTATGGCGTTCTTGTACATACCAGAATCTATCTCATTTTGAATCAAAATTTTCTATCATAATTAGGACACTCTAAGATTCCACCTCTGTATTGTGCCCAGTGCCCGCCTGCTGCTCCGGCCCGCAGTACAACCTCACAACGGCCGACCTGGAAAAGCTTCAACTTGCCCCGCTCGAAACGTCAACCACCATTTTCACCTCTAGCTGCCACCATCAAGTCCGAGGAGCAACGTACCACCCAAAATGCTTTCTCTTATCCTCACCGCAGAGCTCTCAGGGTAAGCAAGCGTCCCAGCTCGTAATACCCTCAAAATCGCTGCCGCCAGATTGCGCAAGCAGCTTCCCCGCACCGCGACAATCCGCTTCCTTCCATCGAAATAACAGCTAACAGATACCAGCGTCACCGACCTCCGCCCTCAAGACACCGAGGACGAGCCCTACTACTACACCTTCAAGGTGCAATGCACCTCCTGCCGCGAGACGCACCCGAACTGGGTCAGCTTCAACCGCTTTGTACGTCCCCTGGCAGCCCCCCTCACCAGCTCAACCATCGTCGCCAGCTTCGCTAACCAAGTTGAAAAGGAACAACACGAAATCCCGGGAAGTCGTGGCGAAGCGAACTTCGTCTGGAAGTGCAAGCTCTGCCAGGTATGGGCGCGTGACTAAATGACTGACTGAGGACCTTGGTCGCAGGGCACGAACGAGTCCGTGACTAACGAAGGCAATAGAGAACTCACTCCGCGTCTATCGTGTCCGGCCCGAATGCGTACGCTGCCGGCGACGACAAGCGCAAGGGCCAGAAGGTGATTGACCTTGAGTGCCGCGGGCTGGAGTTTACGGAGTTCAAGCCTGATGTTTGTCGTCCCTTTGTTGTCTTGGCTCTTGGGACGAGACGCTAACTCTGGTACAGGGAGAATGGGAGGCGAAGGGTGTAGAGTCTTCTACGCCTTTTACGGGCATTGACCTCGCGGAGGGTGAGTGGTATGATTATGATGAGAAGGCTGGGGATGAGGTTGCGATTAAGGAGCTGAAGTGGGAGTTGGGAAGGGCTTAGGGGGGTTTGTCTTATGAGATACTGAGCGATGGAGCGAAGGTATGGTAGGTGTAGCATTCGGACTTGTCTAAGTAGGTAATGAATTATTCGATCAGGCTTGAAGCCTCCAATGTTCGTGATGGTGATGATTGCCGCCTGAAGACTGAGGCAGCGATATCCGCAAGGCGGTGATTCCGCGCTTATCCTGATTGGGCGACTGAGAACCGCGTCGAGCTCCAGCACATTTTCGGCTGGACGAAGGACCTCAGCAATTGACCAGACTTCCGCCGTTGTTGTCGCAAGAAACATCTTCAAGCAGATATCTTCGTGAAGGAGAACATTCTGCTCGACTATATTCTTTGGAACGGGCTGGCTCCATCCCCGAACGACATTTCCTGATTTCCGACACCGCAAGCCGCTCAGAACCTTCCGCGATGAGTGTACGTTCCCCAGATTCCAGCATACCCTTCCCCCCATTGTTGGAATGATTAGAGACTGACGGTTGCTTTTACAGCTTCAACCCGTGAACCCCCGCCCCTTCCTTCAGGCCAGGTACGCCGACCGACTCCTCTCTCTCCCCGAACTCGCTTGTCACCCGCTCAAGAACCGCATCTAACAACGCTTTAGGGTCGGAACCGAAGTCATCGTTCGCCTGAAATGGGGACAGACAGAGTACAAGGGCCGCTTGGAGAGCATTGATTCATACATGAACGTGCTGCTGCGGGATACAGAGGAGTTCATCGATGGCAAGCCCACGGGAACCCTGGGTCTTGTGCTTATCCGGTGCGTTCATCCCCGGAGAGATACCGGCTTGCATGATTTGCTTCCGCGGCGGTCAATATGGGATGGACGTGATTGATGCTGACCGGGATTCTAGGTGTAACAACATCCTCTGGATGGGCTCCGCGGAGAACGTTGAGATGACGGACCTGGGACTGCGATAGACGGATTTCGAGCGTTTTATACCATACCAATCTTTTCGTTTCGGTCGCATGCGTGGATAGGGTATGAAGATGGACAGGGTAAAGCGACGGACCGGTTTACGCCTCGGCATGCGGTTCTCGGCCGGTCTTCCTTCGATGCGTGGCGTACGTGTTTACTCGGCGGCTCTAAATAATACTGGCTTGGATTGATCTGGATCGTGAGAATGGGCGTGCGGAAAATACTGAGCTTCGTTATGCCGTTCGGGAGCAAGGATGATCGCTGTGCGCTACTGCGCTGCTTCTTATCAGGCGTGGAAATATAGCGCCAACACACGGTATTGACTGATTGATCTATCTCCAATAATGTTACATACAAAAAAGCTGTCCAGCTCAATAGATGCGGTGGAATCCATTCCTCGTCCTGGAGTAGTACATCACGCGGAGATAAGTAGGCATTTCATGCGGACTAAAGTGGTGATGCCATCCATCGCCAGCTACCCCACCTCATACCATCAACAACTATCATGACTATATCGCTCGAACCTCAAAATCACAACCCGCAGCAATGACATCAAATAACCTACCTCAAGACGACTACTTCGACCTCGGCACCTATCACCGCCCTGTAAGCACGACAAACCCTCAAGCCCAGACGTGGTTCAACCGCGGCCTGATCTGGACCTACGCCTTCAACCACGAAGAAGCAGCAAGATGCTTCCAAAACGCGGTTGGCCATGACCCAACCTGCGCAATGGCCTACTGGGGCCTCGCATACACACTAGGCCCAAATTACAATAAGCCGTGGCAGTTCTTCGACGAGGTGGAATTGGCGTCGACCGTGCGGAGAACACACAACGCAGCACGCGACGCAAAGAAGCACGCGTCCACAGCTACAGCGGTTGAATCCGCTCTCATCGACGCCGTGCAGTCCCGATACCCGCATGAAAAACCGGGGCAGGACTGTAGCGCATGGAATCAGGGGTACGCGGACGCCATGGCCGCCGTGTACGCGCGGTTTCCCGGGGACCTGGACGTCGCAGCGCTGTACGCCGACGCGCTCATGAATCTGACGCCGTGGGCGTTGTGGGATTTACGTACTGGCCAGCCAGCGCCGAGGGCTCGAACGCTTGAGATAAAGGACGTCCTTGACCGGGCCCTTGCTGCGGCTGGGGGTTTGGAGCACCCCGGTCTCGTGCATCTCTATATCCACCTCATGGAGATGTCTGGGGCGCCGGAGAAAGCGTTGACAGTGGCGGATCGCCTGCGCGGTCTGGTGCCTGATGCAGGACATCTGAATCATATGCCCACTCATCTCGATGTCCTCTGCGGCGAGTATAGACGCGCGATATCGTCGAATTCGGAGGCGATTGAGTCGGATAAGAGGTTTGTGGAACGGGCTGGGGTTGTGAATTTCTATACCTTGTACAGAGCGCATAACTACCACTTCCGGATCTATGCGGCTATGTTTGCGGGTCAGTCGCGGGTTGCTTTGGACACGGCGAAGGAGCTGGAGGGTCAGATACCCGAGGAGCTGCTGCGGATACAGTCGCCGCCCATGGCGGATTGGTTGGAGGGGTTCCTGGCGATGAAGGTGCATGTGCTTATTCGGTTTGGTCGGTGGGAGGAACTGCTGAGTCTCGACATTCCCGCTGACGAGGAGCTATACTGCGTTACGACGGCGATGATACACTACGGCCGTGGCGTCGCGTTCGCGGCAACAGGGCGAGTCAACGACGCCGCTCACGAGCGCGAGCTGTTCCAGTCGGGCTTCAAGCGCGTCCCGAGCAGCAGGATGCTCTTCAACAACACCTGCACCGACATTCTGGCGATCGCATCCGCCATGCTAGACGGCGAGCTCGAATACCGCCGCGGCAATTACGACTCCGCATTCCGCCACCTCCGGCGCTCAATCGAGCTAGATGATAACCTTCCCTACGACGAACCCTGGGGCTGGATGCAGCCGACCCGACATGCCTACGGCGCCCTATTGCTGGAGCAAGGGCGAGTCGAAGAAGCGGAGGCCGTGTACAGTGCGGATCTGGGCATGGACGACACATTGCCTAGGGCGCTGCAGCACCCGAACAACGTCTGGGCGCTGCAGGGGTGGCACGAGTGCCTTGTGAGACTTGGACGGCACGCAGAGGCGCGCATCGTGAAGCAGCAGCTGAAGTTTGCGGCTGCGGGGGCGGATGTTGAGGTTACGGCGTCTTGCTTTTGTCGGAGGGGCGTTGATACTTCTTGAAGTGCAGTTCCAGCCTGTCCAGGTCCCAATCTGCAGGTCGCAAGCGCCCACAGAGGTATTGCACCCCGGACCCGTCCTTCAATCTGATACCCCTTCCGTTGATGCTCAATTGGCGATTGTATCGAGTAGCTTCCCTCATCCAAAGAACAACTTCCACGAAAGGAAACGCCCGGGACGCATTCTCCGTAGGATTTACCCGGGTTCTACAGCGTAGATCCCTGCATCTGACGTCTGCTCATGCATAAGCGACGCCGGAAGTATAGTCCATATACTTCGATACCATCTCTGTCCACCGTCAGCAGCTGGACGGGAGATTCTCGGTCTCGGCGAAGCTCCGAAGTCCCTGAGTGAAGAATCTTCGGCAGCTCCACCGTGGCGAATTGCTTCCAGTCTGAGATCTGATCGAATCAGAGCTACCGATTCACTGCCGACTCGCCTTGCCTTCCTCTCGAGTCATACTTCAGCAGCGATATACTATATCGACTGGATGCTGTGGTGAATGGGTGCTCGCCAGTCCTTCCCCCGACGTCAGCGTCCGAGTCGAGATGGGAACCGCGGATGCGCCAGCGAAGCTCAACCCACTCCCAGAAGGCACAATTGCAGTCTCATTGGCTGCCCGTTGAAGATCAGGCAGATTCATGCCGCTTGAATTCAGTGAATTCACTTTTCTTGAAGCTGAAAGGCTGAAAGTTCCAAGAGCTTCGGAGGACAAAGCACTGTGGGCTATAAGATAGCTGCCCATGCCTCCACCACCTGTTATGCTTAAACTTTGCGATAATCGGAAACCAAGTCCCGCGAGATGGAGGGGCTCAACGACGATATCATTCTCCTGATCGTGGATCATCTCGAAGACCACGGTGATCGCTACAATGCCATCATCGTCAACCATCGCTTCCACGAGTTGTTCTCTCGCGCCTTGTACCGGTCTGCATCGCTGAAGAATGTCTCGGACGTCCAGTCATTTCTGAAGACGATAACGCTGCAACCGAGCCTTGCCAGTGCGGTACGGTCTCTGGATTTCGAGGGCTGGACGTTCAACGATGCGCAAACCCTCTTTAGCCAGGACGATATCGCTTTGTTCTCGAACTGCGCGAAGGCTAATTGCCATTCACCGGAAGAGCACGCGCAATGGGAAAGCGACCTGAGCGACGGCGTGGACGAGGCATGGATCGCGCTTCTGCTCTCGTTCACACCCAATATCAGACAGCTCAAGCTGGTCTACCCGTCGCATAGCCTGGAAATTCGGGGCTACCTCGACCGGTTGTTTCAGAGGGTCACGACGCAGCAGAAGCCCTTTGACAGACGCCCGGCGTTTACCCGGTTGCATGACGTGTCCCTGAGGCAGGTGACGAGGGACGATAAGGCCATAGGCACTTTCTCCCCGTCGCAGATCGAACCCTTCCTTCGGATGCCGTCGTTGACTCGGCTAGCCGTGGACTCGCTCATCGAATACCGACCTGACCCAAGTGAGGAACAGACCGAGGTCGATGCAGGTCAGAAAGTAGAAAATCTCAACGTGCAAACACACTCACTTTCAGAAATAACCCTCACCTCCAGCAACGCCTTCAACGGCTTGAACACAACTTTATCCTCCTGTCCCGGCCTCAAATCCTTCAAATACCAACACACCGACGCACTCTTGTTGGCCGAGGGCTTCCGCCCTTCTGCATTTAACACTTCCCTGGCACGCCACAAAGCCACGCTCGAAACGATCTGGCTCGATAATCTCGGCACGCATCTTCCTTTCACAATCAGTGGACTCAACGAAAGCCACGAGGAATGGTTCGGCTCGTTCGCGGAGTTCACGGCGCTGAAAGACCTGCGGATCCGGTTGACGAATTTGCTCTATATCCAGTATTCGTTTGAGCCGGTGACGCCCTTGACGGATGTCTTGCCGGAGGGGATTGAGAGGCTTTATATTGAGGACTGCAAGGAGCGCTCGTTGGGGATGCTGCTTGCGCAAGTTGGATTGGTGCTCGAGGCGCGGAAGACCAATGGGCGATTTAGACGGTTGAGAAGCTTGGATATCGAAGGCTTCTTCCATGATGAGGAGGAGGATGCGGATACTTCTGGTGATGGTGACGGTGAAGGGGGCGGTCTCGCTCCGGCTATCAAACCACGTATCTGTGAGATGGTTGAGCCCGTGAGGGATGTTTGTGAGAGGGCTGGAATCCGCCTGTCTTTGCGAGATCGGATGTGCCTGCATACCATGGGTTGACGCGTTTGGATGTGCTGTCCCCCCGCCCCTGTCCCTTGTGCCTGGGCATCCTAATTACTTTTATCCCCTGTCACGATATCCCGCTCCGCAGTATGGTGTTCGGCGTTTGGTCTCCTACTCGATTTTGGCTTTGGCTTTACGTTAGATTATGGAAATGAGCACGGGACAGGACACCTTTGATAGACCAAGTTATTTCCCGATAGAGCGCGGTTTTCCTTGGAACTTGAGCATTCTTTTTTCCTATCACCTCGCTTCTACGCGTTCTGGCCTGGATTCCTCGCGGACTTTCAGACCGGTATGAACGTACTTGGGGAGGTATGATACATGGTAGCACGCTCCTACTGCTGAGGTACGATAGTCAAACAGGGCCCATCACTCCTGCCTGAGCTGTTTCAGTCTCCATCATTGCGTCTAGAATAAGGCATCATCTAATCCATGGAGCGAAAATCGCTACGCCGGAAGCAAAGCTAAACAAGCACAGGCATGGAGCATAACCACGCGGAAAGTCCTCAACAGCACAATCACAGCGCACTCATAAACGACCTCGGGACCCAACCACCAACCCCAGCACAAGAACTCCTCTCCACCCTCCACCAGCGCCTCTACCCCTAAGTCTGACAGCCCCTGCACCCCCCTCCAGCTCCTCCCTCGTCTCATTCCCAACACACCTCCACCCGCTCAACTCCGCGCCCTTCCCACGAATACACCCCCCACAACCCCCCTCGCCTCAGCAGTAATATCACAGTACGCCGTGCACTCATCCGGGCCGTGATACCCGATTTCGGTCTCCATGTCGCTGTCCTCCCCGTCGTTTGCTAGGGCGCAGTACTCGCGCAGGGAGGTGAGCGGGTCGTCGTCGGCGCTCGAGGTGATCACGCTGGTGTTGGACTTTAGACTGGTGTTTCAGGAGATGGATACCGGTGCTGCGCAGTAGCTTGTTGAGGGGAGTGTGCTGGTGTAGATATCATTGGCGTGCGAGCTGCAGCGGGCGCCGCCGTAGGAGATTATGGAGGAGTTGGGCATTTTGGCGGGGAGAGGGTTTGCTAGGAGTGGAATTAGGATCTGGATCTGGATTAGGTGACGTTTTGGAGTATGTTTCTTTTTTCAGATATGGTGGAATAGACCCTATGCAGGTGGTGGGAGTTTCTTGCGTCCTGTCTCTCGGTGGGCCGGAAGTCTGGCATAAATCTCTAACGGGTTCTCACTGCTTTGCAGAGTACGTTCCTTCTTGCTAAATATAGACCTACCTCACATCCATGGATAGCTAGACCTCGAGACGTCTATAAATGACGTAGACAAGCCAAGACAAGTCGGTCCCTTGTGGCAGAGCGCAAGGCTTACCCGTAGCTTAGGGCCTGGGCACCCCTGGGACGGGGATGGGGCTGGAGCATCATTGCACCCCAAGCGCTGATCCAAACAGACTCGGTCCTAATGATGTAGTTATCTTGTCGCTCAGGGCCCTTTGGATCCTGGTGCGCACCGTAGTTCCCTTTTGGGCTTGGCCCTTGCCATCAACTGAAGCCTGGAGCTTGAGCGTGAGCGAGAGCCCTGGAAATGCAAGCAATGCCGCCTCGATGTCGAAGCTAGCAAGCTAGAAACCATGACGCATGCCTCGACGGCGTCTGAACCGCTCTGGAAATGATGCGCCGTACCTGGCTTTGGCTCTCCGGATCATGGCGCAGGTGGTGTCAAAAGGCAGTTTCTCAATACCCTTAGGCACCTACCTAGCTTTCTTCCGATGGAGTTGATACGGGGCACCCAGGTTCGAGAAGGACAGAGAATCTACCAGCTGCGTTTCGCCCCAGGGTCTATATCGTGAACCAAGCCTTTCCATCCGTACCCTCGGGACCCGAACGGGACGTCCTGCTCCCATCCCACGTAGGGTTCCGTGTTCGATGGCCTAGAATACGGTAAGCTTCGAGTCGATGCATTGCTTCTGGGTCTGGCCTGTTACGAAGCGCCCCAAGAAACAAGCACGCAGTTCCGACTAGGCCCAGACTGTAGAATTGATGGCTTGGGTGCTGTGTCTGTGTCGGTTGGTCTTTCGCCGAGCAGCAAAGAGAGACTGACGTTCCAACTCCCGGTTCCTAAATACAATCGCATCTCCTCACGCGCAGAGGCCGCGCGGTCGGCCGGTATCGAAGCGAGGTGTGGAAGAGATAACTAGGCCTAGGGTTAGTAGGGATTTTGATCGAGAGATGGATGAAGGGAAAGGGATCGATCCTACGTACGCAGCCTGCTGCTCCAGCAGTTCCAGCAGTCGTACCTCCAGTCTGGCGCCAGGCCTTCCGTCTTCGGAATCGAGTGGCGGGTTCGGTCTTTCTTGACGGGCGTCAACGCCATCAGGCGTCCATCTTTGGGATTTGAGGCGAGGTCCGATGGAAGATACCAGCTGGAGGCTGGAGCACAGGGTGCTGGCATGTTCCAAACCTGCACTTTCGCTCCCTGGCCGTCTTCCAAATCCTCTTCTCGAAAAAAGGGCAGATCTCACCTGCTTCCCAGCCGTGAATTTTGCAGAGGCCGGAAATTCAGACGAAAGCCTGGCCGGTGGAAGCCCGGAGGAAAGTCTAGTCAGGCGAGTCACCATCAGCTGCATTGAGCGCTGGGAGCTCAATCCCTGTCACCCTGCGTTTGATGGTGCGTGTTCGGAGTCGGTGCTTGATGTTTATCCTGAAAGTCAAACGCAGCGCCGGCGTAATCCACGAAGACGCACCCTCGCGAGGACGACGCCCTGGAGTTACAGCAGGCAAGCATACCCAAGGAGCAGTCTCAATCGACAGCGATAACTGTCCATTGCCTTCGCATTCTTGATCATCAGCGGCATGAGCTTTCCGCAGCACCTGCAAGAGGTTCCGTGCCTTTCTGCGGAAATCCGTCTTCAGCTCGGCCGCCACAGGCAAGGTGAATCAGTACCGGGATCTAGAACTCGAACACGGCAGTCATTCGTGACTGAGGTCGTCACATAGTGCACTCGAACGGGTAAGGCAATATTCACTGCCGCTGGAACCGGGATCGTGGGCCGGAGATTCGAAGGCGTCGTCACTGACGAACGTCGAAAAGCTCTTATTATTACCTAGACCTTGTGGAACTGCCAAAATACCTGGTACCGCAGGCCTGCGTCTCCAAGATGTTAACAAGCCAGAAACCTTTGGTCGCAGTCGCCCCCAAAAGAACGCGGCGGCAAGATCGAAGCCCTAACTCTGGATTCACCAGGAGTCTCAACCACCAGCCCGCCCCCAACGACTTCCTCGACTCGGGCAATTCCAGAGCTTCGCGAAGGCTTCTCAGCATGAATATATCGGTCATCAGGCCAGTGAATGCTCGCTGGGAAAGATGCCGTGAACGGCGTGGTTTAGTTGCGGCAGTCGGTGACAGCTGATTGAAGGCCCGCGCAGTGGCTTCGAGAGACTTCTCTCCTTCGCCACCCCGTCAATCCTAGAGTGAGGTGCAGCGACTCGTGAAGTTGACGCTCTCAATGACGCGGATGCCAGGTTCTCCCAGGTTCAGGCGGCAGTCACCGCAACTCGGGCTTCCCACGGCCACTTCTCGTCCAAACAGAGTGAGCTGCAACTCGAGAGGATGAACACACGATTTTGCAGTGTTGTCTCAGAGTCTTGAGCAGCGGGGATACCAAAGTTCATACACAAGGGCCTAGCGGGCGTCCGTCATCGGGGAACCGGAAGACGAAGGAAGGTGGGTGGTGAATTAGGGCTACCCGGCACAGCCACCCTAACTTCACTGCCATGGGAGCGAATCCCGCGCTCACCCACGCATCCCACGATTCGTTCGAGATGCAGTCACAAGGACCGTGAAATCCATCGCCCATTAACTACCTACCGAAGTGACTAGCCTGTCTCCTGCAACCTGTTTCACAGCATTCGCCGCCAGACCGCGGGGTATAAATATCTCGTCGATTCCCGCCGAGCGAGTCGAAATCTTTCCTTCCTACATCTCTCCCGTCTTCGACTTTGTGGGTTCCTTGCATGGGACCGATCCATAGCTCTTATGTCTTATGTCTTATGTCCCTTCGTAGGTAGCATGGGACCTAGGTGCAGTTCTCTTATGTCCCTTAGGTAGGTAGCGTAGCGTAGCCCACGTACGTAGCTGACATCCCAAGTCCGAAGTCGAATATCGCGGGAAGACAACGTCGACCACCTCGGTCGAAAATACTTTCCCTATACTTCAAAGACCCGGCCAAGTTCGCCATCGAGAGGGAGGCTTATACCTCAACGCCCGCTTCGGCGCTACTCCCCGTCTTCTTGATGGGACAATCCGGACGCCCAGGGCATGGCCTGTCCGGCCCTTGGAACAGCCTATATTTCCGCTTGTGCCTGGCCAGGAGGGAGGAATGCTTGGCGCCTACATCTTTTGAGGCGAGGGGGGTGGCGCATTAGCGCTGGATATGTAAGTTTCCCTTTCCTTTGACTTGGTCAACTGAGGATGGCCTTAAGGGTGGATATGGATAGATCTGGGGTTAACCATGTAGGTACTATAGCCCGGCCGACAACTAACAGGCCCAGTACGTTGTCGTGGGGATCACATCAGCTTGACCTCTCGATGAAAAAGACTGGGAGGGAGTCAACATGGGCGCCAGTAATGGTAGCACAGAGCCAGCCAACCTTGCGGAGTTCCCACAGGATATACGTCCCATTCGTGTCGCCGCACAGGTCCTCAAACACCCAGTCAATGGAGGGGTCAAGTTAATGCCTTGCCACAACCCTTCCTCCTCGCTCGCCCTCTCTGGTACGATCGCGGAATCCCTCCGGTATGGCGTTTTGCTGACTTTGGAAGCCGCCAGCGTCGCCGCTCACGAGCTCCCGTAGGAGCAAGTCGCCTAGGAAGTAGACGACCGGTCTATGCATCCCATACACGATCAAGAAATCAAAAGTCTTCCACCTCCCGGAGTACCGGGCAGCATAGTCTAGCCAGAATGACCGCGGCAAGGTCTCAAAGACCTATTCGGTAGTTCTGGGGTCATGCATCGCCCACAGACGACATGCATAACGCTCAATGCAACCCACAAAGCCATGCGCCTTTTCTTCCGGGACAGTAGGAACGTCGCCATCACCTTCATCAAAAGCTAGTCTTAGACGGTCCTGTGACCCCCCCTCGGCCCAAACCCTATTTCCAGTGGGAGATACCGCCGCACGAGGAGGCATCCTCTCATTGCATTTGGAACCATGGGGCTGCCCAATGCAGCGTGAGAACGAGGCAGATACTTAGTAAGCTCCTTCCTTTTGCAGTTATGAGGTTCACTGACTGGCCTTATATTCGTTTGTCCGTCGACGTCCAAACCGCAGATGGCGTGATTGATATTCACCGCAACCCGCCCATATACCTCATGCTGCGAGAAAAGACTCCTTGTCGGAACAGAAGGCATGTGAGGTCGGTTGGGATGGAACCGAGGGTGCAGACTTGACTGAACCCAAAGAATTCCCCATCGACTCGGCAGCTTCGGTACCGTCACGGAAGTTGTGGAAGAAGAGGAGATTAGCACCCATTGTTGCCGATTCCTCGATGGGCAACTACCGAGACTAGACGGGTATCTCGAGTCGTCAGGACCAGCGAAGGAGTTCAGAATGTCAGTCAGACCAAGGGCAAGATGCGCCGAGTGGCTGAGTCCGATGTGGGTGTACAGAAACAGCAGAGATCATGGTCTCCAGCACAAATCTATGGACTAGATATGGGCAGACTTGCCAAACGCGTACACGAAGGAGCAACGCCAGATTCTGGTTGACTAAGTGCAAGAGCTAATACTCGCCAAGATGGAGTATTAGCTTGAGGCAATATGCCATCGACTGGAGGATCGGGTAGAGATAAAGAGAAAGTTTTAGGCCGAGGTCAACAGGGAGATGTACGTTTTCCAACCCACATTGCCTGCCAGAACGTATGTGGACCGGGGCTGACGAAAGTACAAGAACACCTGGGTGCAGGTCGAAATCGACGCAAGGTTGCGTGATGGCACACCTGCAGACTTGCCCACAAGATTCAGGCTCTCGTCACGCCGAATTCCACAAAGGGAGCAATGACTAGCAGCAAGAAAAAAAAACTCCGAATGGGTTTTCAGACCTCGACCAGAACGGCATGGACTTTGTGCGCACACAACACCCATAACAAGCATTCAGACGTGGCCGACTGCACAGGAATGCCGGATGCCTTTTGGAATTTGTGACTCAGATAGGTAATGGTAACCACACAATATTGTTACATCCCAGATGTATTCTTAGAGAGTGTCTGCCACCAATACCCCTGGCACAAAGCAGACCTGTCCTGATCTCCCATCACTCGGGCCATCTCGCCACCTAGCCGCCGCCAGTCTGAACCTTACCAGTTGACAGAGAGCCCCCCACAAGACCAGAATCTCGGCGCCATCGTCTTACCGCGCCACTGGTTCGAAACCCCCAACCCCGGTGCCCCGGCCGCTGCTGCGGGTGTCACTCGGTTCCGGAGACTGTCTCAGGTCCGGCGCTGGTGGAATCCAGAAACTGCAACTGCATGGCATGATCTAACTGAGGGAATGCGGAGGGACTCTGGCGATGGTTAGGGTTTGTCCTACAGGAGGTTGCGGCTCTGTGCTTGCCTCCCATCGAACTGGGGCGGTGATGGTAAGTCCAGACACTGTCATTAAACTATGGAATCTGGATGCTGATAGGCGTATAATGTCTAGGTTGGTATAGCCTTTGCAAAGTTGGGCGAAGCCGTCTGCAAGATCCGCGGGAAATCCCAGCCTGACGTACGCACCATGAAAGAACATGGCGCCGAAGGCGAGGAGTCCTGGCAGGACCCTGTTTAATGCGCACACGTCAATCACACACGCTGGCCGGGTCTCGGCTGTACAGCGACACTTTATACAGGCTGAGCTGGTTATTCTATTCATATCCGATCCAGAAATACCATAGCCAGAAGACGTTCAGCTGCGCACCCAACCATATCTTGACACACCACTAACGCTACGAACAAAGCCGCAACGCTTCCGGGCTGATACAATAGCTGTCCCTAGGATTCCTCCTTGGACAGGCGGGGAGAGCCTGTCTTCCCACGAGCGACGGTGGATCTTTGCCCCATCGTGCGCTCTGCTAAGTCGGGGTTCTCTGGCTTCGCAAACCCGGGCACCTGGAAGTGAATGTCTTACCCCTTGAAGAATACCAAGGTCAATCACGAGGAGATCACAATCGATCTTGGACTGTTGAAAATGCCAGGAACCGGAATCCCGCGGAGCTCAAGAGCCCTCTGGGGTATGCGCCGGGAAGCTCATCGGCAAGAGCCTCAATGACATGGAAGAAGGATGGTTGACGTCAGGGTCAAAGGTAAACGAGAAGCAGTACCTGCTTTTCCACCTGGCCTGCGGGTGCTACCTGTACTCCGCTCTTGGGAGGAGGTGGCTGTGGCCTGATTATCCTAAAGGCTCGAGAAGGAAGCCCGAGGACGGCACCTGGACAGTGGAAACCGTGGCCCTTACCGTGTACATCACCTGGGCGGAGGGATGATCAAGATAGTACTCGACCCTACAGTGGCGGTCGAGGCGGGGACCAAGGCACCTCCAACGTACGTATGGGATGCCGGGTGACGACTTGCCCAAGGCGCTCGAACACCAAGACGTCTTGAACTATTAAGTAGAGCCATCAAGCAGTACAAGAGGGTCCCTATCGAAATGTGTGTCGTTCTAGTACTATATTATCCGGGACCATCTAAAAAACTACTGTATACTAACTTTCCGCCTCGCGTCTGGCTTTCTAGTGGTTTATTTTCATAGTGGCTGGTCCTAGTATTTAACTAAAAATATAGTATTTCTTTTTTATATCCTGCTAGCCCTTAGCCTTATATGAAAAAATAAAAATACTTAAAAGAGTACCTTATTTCTCCTGGCCCTTGGGAATCAGTAAAACCTATTATTAATATTTTAATATAAATATTTTATATACAATTATACCTTTTACTTAATATTATTAACATTATTCTATATCATTTTCTATTATACCTTAAACTTTACTTTTATATTAAATACAACACTATAAAATAAAAAACTGCAAGGTACTGTACCCTAATATTATACTGAAAATGAAAAGTAATATTAATATTAATAGGTGTTTTTAAACCCATGTTAATAGCTAATATGGCAGCGTTACCAGCCACATCCCCGGTACGCGGGGTTCTGCCCCGTGTTACCGCCTTAAGAAGATATTTTGGCCGTTCCACGGCATAGCTTTATAATCAAGACTTTTTATATTTATATAGCAAGCTTTTGCTGCTATAAATAGTAACATGTCCTAGCAAGGGCAGGGTCTTAATTCTCTTTTTTATTGCTTTATAAAGGTTAATTAATAATATAATTAATTATATACTAGAGGTGGTTTTACCCTATTTAAAATCATGGGTCAAAAGTCTGTGCACACTCTTTTTTATTTAGGTTTAAAATATTAATAACTACACTAATTTAAAAGGTATTATAAAATCCTTTATATATAAAATATATTAAATATTTAATTTTGCTATAAAGTAAAAACAATTAAAAAATATAATTTTTATAATAAGTTATCTAATAAAAAGTAAAAAGAAATATCTTTTTTAAAATAAATCCTTTTTAGGAATTTTTATATTAATATATATTTTTTTATATTTTATTTAAAAACTAAAGCCCTTTATTAATATTATAAAAATATTTTTTTTAAGTATGCATAAGGCCTTTTAAAAGTTATAATATTTTTAATAATATATGCTATATTTTTTTATTTCTTGGCACCTTTTTATATAGGCGCCTATAATATATATTTAAAGTTTAATACTTCCCTGCCTTAAAATACTAATAACTTTTTAAAACTTAAAAATATTTAAATTTTAGTGGTAATATATAAAAAATTTATTATTTTAATTTAATTATATATTTTTAAAGTATAAATTATAGTATAAATTTATTTAGTTATATAAATTTAAGAATGTCCAGATTTTGCTATTTTTGGTGGGAAATAGGAAGTGTGCACAGACTTTTGACCCATGTTGGTAGCTAAAAAGTAATAAAAAATTAAAAAATAATATAAGTATTAACTTAAAAATAAGAAAGCTTACTATAAAAAATAGGCTAAATTAAATTATTTATAATAAAAAAATATAAACCACAGCAGCAGCGCACATAAAAAAAATAGTAAAAAAAATTAAAAAATAAGCTAGATAATAACCCTAGTAACTTATTACTAAATAATGATAATAATTATTAATATAATAATAATTATTAATATAATAATAATTATTAATATAATAATAATTATTAATATAATAATAGTAATAGGCGTGACTAAAATCCCAAAAAATATAAAAATAGAAAATATTATTTAAAAAATAAGTAACCTTAAAATCCTAAATAAAGAGCTACTAACATAAGATTCTTTTTTTTAAACCTGCTAGCTAAATATAGTTTTGAAAATATTATAAATAAAAATAAATTTATATATTACTAATTAGCGCATTTATTTATAAAACATTTTTAAATAATAATAATACATGGTTTATATAGCAGTTAGCACGTAATATTAAAACATGTTTTAAAGGGAAAGATTTAGGTTAGTATAACAACAAGTTAACTAATATCACACGTCGCGGACTGGTTTATTCGCGAGATATATTAAATTGGTGCACGGCCATAGAGACAAGGTTCCGAATGCCGCTGGTTGCTTTTAGTATACCTGTTTCTTCCCAGCTTCTTTTTACGGCGGGGCGGGGATGCTGCGGAGCAACCTGAAACAGATTCGTTTTTCCTTGAATTAGGGCTATTTAGACCGTGGCCTGGTCACACCCGCACTTCACCCCGTAGTGCGAGAACAAGCTCACG